AAAAAAAAAATTTGACCTCTGGACTTTTCCTCACGGCGAAAATGCTTACCGAATGCTATTTTCGTGTGAAAATTCTCGATTTTATTATTCATATTATATTTAACTTTATAATGCTATAACTTATTGAAAAGTTTATGGATCCACACAATTTTTTTATGAGAAATAATATTTTTTAATAAACCCTTTTTCATTCGACATACTTTATCTTAATCGAGATATTAAGGAACCAGCAGATCAAGTAGCTTTTGGAATAAAACACCAATTTTTTTAAAATTTAACACTATCTAAAGATTTGCATCGAAGCGTTTATTTTTGATAGTGATTTTAATCACTGTCAGATATCATTATACTTGATCCAACTATACCACGTCACCACTGTGCCGCGACCCCTCTGTGCTGGGTTTTTTATAATTTACACAAATATTAATTTTTTTTATTTAAAAAAAAAAACTACCTGTTCCATATAAATTTGTAGCATCTAGGTATTGAAGATATTTATGTGGAATATTGGGATTGTAGTCAGAGATACCTGGATGATTTGCTCGAGCATACCGCTGATTGACCTATATTAAATATAATATATATATATTTAAATATGTATATATTTATTAATATTATTAAACATATTTTTATATTTTTAATAATCACACATACTTGTGTCAAACCTCCACGTATACCCAATTCAAACATTAATAACATATCTGGGTCTGTTATCAATTCAATGTTGACATCAGTATATTTTAACATAGCATCAAATGATAGGTCTGGACATGAATAATAATGAGTGGGATCCAGAGAATAATTTTTTAAACTCTCCGCGCGAAACTTTTCAAATATGTCAGCAAGTACCTAAAAAATAAATGTATTTATAATTGTTAATTACTAAAAAAATTAACAACATACCATAACGTCGACAAGTAAATACTTGTCACTATAATCACCAATAGTTTTGCATTCAAAGTGTTGCCACATTTTTTTTGCATGTTCATAGTCCTCTTCGGATACTGTATTTTTTGTAATGGAACTGTAAGAATTTTCGCGGGTTGGCAACTGATTTTCGTCGAGTTTTTCCCAACTGTCTACGTATTCATATGGGAAAACCGATTTCCGTGTGACCAACTCCAACGATTTAAAGACATTTAATGTATGTGCAAAATCAGGTAAAGTCAAGGTGGTTGTAAGTTGATACAAACTCGCTTGCAAAAATCGATATGAATCTATAAATCGAAGTTGAAAATAATCGCTTATTGTCTTACTGAACGAAATATATTTTTCTTCGGATTGTGCTATAACAGTAATGTCTTTATTGTCGTAAGCCATTTCTGGTATTATCATGTGCGAGTCATAGTTTGAAAGACCATGCATGATAACTGGTATGAATGCGGAATATCGTCGTTGTAAATTACATTTGTGGCATAAAACAGCTCGAAATTTTGCCGTCCAATGATTATGATCCTTGACTTTTACTAACTTATCGGTAAACTCTATTAAACACGAGTCGCAATGTTTTGTGGTATTGAAACGATGTTGTTCCTCAGAAGTTAGAGGATTCATCTCGATGTTAATTTTCATGATATCTGATACTTGTTTTCCAATATCCACCAACGCTGATACAAAATGTTTAGCAGCATCAGGTCCTCGATACATTACTGGTTCCTCCGGTAATCCCTGACACATGTTTTGCGGTAATATTTTGGAGTTGCGTACTAAGTAAAAACAATAACTCATTGGTTTATGTTTTTGTACAATCATAGACTTGTCCGATATTTGTTCCATCGTTCGAACAAGTAAACTTTCCATATCAGCGTAGATAACTAACGGTATTGCTTCTTCTCGTCTTGTGTTTTTAAAACATAATATTGAAAGATCAGAGTTAGGCTGTGGTAGAACAATGCGAGCCTCCTTGAATTTTCCACACATTTTTACATGTTCTTTAAGTCCCTCTTTCCCACTCGCACGAGTTAATAACGGTTGCTCGTTAAATACGCAGAGACATCGTTTACAATGATATTCTTGTCGTTTACTTTTTGAGCGTTGTTTTGATACAAGCCTTGAAAATTTTGAGATGTAACAATAGTGGCTAGTTTCATTATTTTTCAAGTATAGTAAATCAATATGATCTGTAGCGGTTTTGGATTTAGATTTCTATTTAAATACATACAAAATATATTTCGAAAATCGAATGGTATAAAAGGATTTTGCGGCATAATAACTAAAATAAAAAATAATAACTTAATTTAGAAAAAAAATATCTAGACTTATTTACCGTTATTCAATAATTATGATAAAACGAATTTTTATTTATAGAAAAATAACTTTTTACGCCAAATAAATTATTAGTAAAAAAATTAAATTTTACTCTTGGTTAATAATCAACTTATAACACTAAAATAACAATTTAAAGAACTTACATTATTTATTTATTCCTCAAAATGCAGTTGATGCAACAAGTATTCGTTACAGTATAAGTTTTCCGTTCGTCGAAATGCAATTGAAACAACAAGTAATCGCTAGTGGATATAAAATCTGAAATAATTAGCATTTTATTATAATATTCTTTGTAAATTAAGACTATAAAATGTTATAATGTAAATTTATATAATATGATTTCCAATAAGTTTGCAAAAATAAAAAACATTTGAGTTCAATTAATTTGATATTATAAAACTTTTATTTTTTTAAATCTATTAAGACATTAAAAATAGTATATATATATATATATATATAATTACAATAATTAATTTTATACTTACAGTTTAATTTTTATCAAACGAAAAATGTAACTACAACAAATTTCTTTGCGCAAAATCTGATCGTTAGAATAAACTACTACACTCTTATAATTCTTTCGAATGAATAAACAGATCCAAGACTTTATATACTTGCATTGATTAAAAAAATGCAATGAAATTTAATTTATGATATGTTCTTCTGTGTTAATGATGAAAATGACAGATGATCGTCTAATTACTTTTGAAATAGATAATATATTACATTTATGTCTCGTTTTCGCGCATGTTAAGTTCCATGGAATTTTTATTTAANATAATGATTTTGAACAAATGATTGTTTTTTTTACAAATTAGGTAAAATAAACATTCTTACGTAGTTTTTATCTAAATATGTGCATGTCGCATATCAAAATAGCGGATTCGACGTTTAAAATTCGAACTTTTCACCGTTACCGTGTAGCGTACCTGGAAAATGCATTTTTTTTTTCATCAAAAATAAAAACTTACATCTCATAAATACTATATGACCACCCACCGCATCATAATCCAAAGTTTAGATTACAAACAAATAACTAAATAATAAATATATTCAGTTTTTTTAACAAATTACCCAAAATCAACATTTTACGTACAATTTTTATCTAAAATGAAAATAATTGGCGATACTGTACGGTTAATTTTGATTTATCATATTCGATACATCGCGCACCTTAGGAATAAGCTAATCACCACCTCGACATGCGTACATCGTATTTTTATCGCGCTAAAGATACAAACGTTGCGATTCACACCTCCGACCGACACCGTCATCAAGGCGGTTACACGACTACGGCTTATACCCCGTCGACGACGATGACGACGGCGGCGGCGGTTGCGATGACACAATATAACGCGCGACCGTTTGACGTACAACTCCATGGTGAGAGGGTGTAGGCAGGGGCAGAGTCTTTAACATTATTGTATGTGACGTGATGACCTTAAGGGCGATTATATTACGTAACACCTGTGATGCTCCTGATTGAGGGGCACGCGTTGCTGCATACGTCACACCGACAACGACGTAACGCCGAGTCAGCTGACCACCTACCCTCCGCCAACCCACATTATTATCGCAATTTTAACAATAACACACTTGATTTACGACTTTAACAATTACGATTGACCTTAATTAACCATTTAATTACCCATTAACACTCTTAATTTATTACTTTTTGATGACATATGACACTAATTACCATGGCGGCATCCTTTGATGCTTGTATTAATACTAGTAATTCAATACTTACTCAGCTATTAACAAGAATAGCAGACTTAATTTTTTTACAATACTTTATTTAGCCACCTCGATAGATAGTGAATTACAGACATCAATATCGACAGAAGATATTACTACTCAAAGCTCAATATTGTCTTCTGAGATATATACTCAGATCAACACTGAAGCTCAGTGTATTGTGTCTGAAACGCAAACGGATGAATCATCATTCAATTCAACTACAAATTGCAATAAACCTATCGCTTTAACAGGTCAAAATTTTAATTTACTTTTTTAAAATACTTACAATTTTATTAAATTATTAACAAAATTATTTGTGTGTCGACCCCCTTGTGTTGGGTTTTTATAATATTATTTCTATAAAAATTATTATAATAATTTTTATTAATAATATTTTTCAGTGCATTATTACTCAAAATTAAATAAACTAGAGGGAACCACTCGAGTTATATCATCAAATTTCAATGAACGAGTTATTCACATCGATGAGCTCACCCAGACTAACACTGCCGTTGAATTTAATGTATCAGATACGCAAATTTCAATTGTCGTCCATGCAAAGATTGCTACACGGAACTCTCTATTATCATGCGAACAATGTACACAAACCAACGAATTATCTACAGTTAATGAGTCTGTTACCCAAACAGATGAATCGACATTAAATATCGTATGTACAGAGACTGGTACACAGAGTTCTATGTTATCAAGCGAACAATGTACACAAACCAACGAATTATCTACAGTTAATGAGTCTGTTACCCAAACAGATGAATCGACATTAAATGTCGTATACACAGAGACCGGTATACAGAGTTCTGTGTTATCAAGCGAACAATGTACACAAATCAACTATATTGCCGAGGGAATCGAGTGCATCACCCAAACAGATGAATCGACATTAAATGTCGTATACACAGAGACCGGTACACAGAGTTCTGTGTTATCAAGCGAACAATGTACACAGCTCAACTCCATTGCAGAAATAATTGAGTCTGTTACGCAAATGAATGAATTACCTTTGGATTTAACTGTAAATTACAAGTCTACAGGGACTCAGTGTTCTTTATTGTCATCTGTTAAAAGTTCTCTTTTGGAAACTGTAGATGTCCTTGAAAAAAGCGAAGTGCAAACTTGTTACAATAATCAGGTTTATAGACCAAAAATTTATAGTCTGCGGTGGGATTTACCTGAACGAAAGCTAATAATTAATCTAGTCTATGCTTTCAAAGTGCTTCGTTTTTCAAAAGATTATTTTTATATGGCAAATGTTAATGATAAGCATGAAATGAGTATTTTAAAAAATAAAATGAATCTGTTTTACACTCTAAATGATACAGATATACAATTCTATAAACCACAATATAATGAGCTTTGTGCCATTACATACGGTAATTATTAACATATAATTAAAATAGTTTCAAAATTATGAAGTTTCATGGTTCAAGTGTAGTTAATTAATTAATTTTAATAAGTATAAAGCATCATTTAATACGTGTTTTAAACTCTGGATATTTCAATAATTTACCTAATANGTTTTAAACTCTGGATAGTTCAATAATTTCTCTAATAAACAAACATTTTATTCAAAGCAAAATTTACGAACAATTCCAATTAATAATTCTATTATTTAATTTTTAGGTAACGGTAAATGGTTTAGGGGTATTTGTGACCTGGTCGAAAATGAAGTCGATGTGGATGATGTTTATAATGTTTATTTACTTGATTTAGGGAAACATGTAAAAGTAAAATCTGGTAACATCCGTAAATTACAGCCGGCCTTTATGAAATATGCACCCCTGGCAATTAAATTTTTTTTATTAAGTGCGATGACCTATTATAATTTAACTTAAAAAAAAATTTAAAATTTTGTAATTTTTTAGGTTTCAAGTTCAATGTTGAGAGACAGAATACTTTGTNATTTCAAGTTTAATGTTGAGAGACAGAATACTTTGTGGAAATTAAAAAATCAATTTTTCTATTGTAAAATATGTGCAAAAGTTGATTTTAATTTTTATGTAATTGAATCTAATAAGTTATCAGATTTAATGACTTCCTGCTAAGTTTTTAAAAAATTTTTTGATCTTTCTTAAAATTAACTAAATAAGGAGTTAATTTATCAACTATTTTGTTAAATAATTAAATAATTTATGTAATAAAAAATATATTTTTACAGATTTTTCTAGTTTTTGTTTCGAAATCTATTGGTGACGATATTTGAATAGTATATCAAACAATATTAATTATTAAAAACATGTGTGTTTGGTCTGAGATACTTTATTAAATTAAAATCGTACAGATATTTGCGACAACACAGTTAGATAACACAATATGTCCTTTTTTTTTTTTTTTTTTTTTTAAAATAACTTTATAAATTTACATCTATACCTATTTTGAGTTTTGTTTTTTGATTTTATTTTTTTTTTTTTTTTTTCTATAGGAGGTCTTTACACCATTTTCTTTTTAATATTCTTGGTGGTTTGTCGGGGATGTGCTTTGAGTAGAGGTATTGAATATTAGGGTTTGTGTGAGAGTTTAATTTGTTGTAAAGTTTTAGGTAAGCAGTTTTGGCAATATTGTTAACATAACTAATTTAAAGATCTGAATGGAGAGTTTTATTAGGGACGTACCAAGGGGAATTGGTGAGTGTTCGTAGGCAAATGGATTGAAAGGATTGGATTTTTTGGATGTTGGATGGAGCGGCACAGCCCCAGATTTGAATACCATAAAACCATAGTTGGAAGAGAAGAGTTTTATAGATGAGTGTTTTTAGTTTTAGATTAAGTTTGGAACGTAAGAGAGGGCGAAGTAGATGGAGTCGGGTGTTTAATTGTTTTCTTTTTTTAGTTATATGGTCTCTCCAAGTTAGTCGTTTGTCAAAAATGAGGCCTAAGTATTTTACTTTATTATTTTTGGGGGAGTAAAGTGTTGTAGAGTTTGACTGGTGGACAGATGTCTGGTCGAAGAGAAAAGGTGATGTGGTTTGATTTGGTTGTATTTACTTTAATTTTCCATTCAGTAATCCATTTTTCTAAAATATTGAGGTGGTGTTGGAGTTTGAAATTTGTTATTAAGGGATCAGCGTCAGATGCTAATATGCTTGTATCGTCAGCAAAAGTATTTAAGATTGTGAAGGTAGATTTAAGTATATCAGCTGTGTATATTAAGTATAAAAGGGGGGATAGGTCACTGCCTTGGAGAACTCCGGCTTTTATAGTGAAATGGTTAGAAAGTGAGTTGTTTATATTTACTTGAAAAGAACGTTGGTCTAGGTAAGATTTTAATATTAAGTAGTATGGTGTTGAGAGGTTTGATTTTAGTTTGCCAATTGCATATTTGACTTCATTTGGAGAAAAGTGTTGGGATTAAGGCGAGGAAGATGAAGAAGATATTAAAACTATTTGGTGATAAATATTAAACTAAAACATCTTTAAAAATTAAAAAACGAAAAAAATCTTTAATGTATAAATAAAAGTGAAAATGTAACTTATTTCCTTATTGTCTTTTGCCGATCGATATTTTCTGTGAATTGTGTTGCCTATTTAATTACAAAATAGGATTTTAATTGAATCACTCAGTATTTATGAAGTTATACAAATATTTCTAGTTCTACTTATTTATCTAAGTTTTATTCTATAATAATTTTTATTATAGAAAATAAGTGTATTATACACTTATATTATATAAAATTTACTTTTAAATTTAAGTTTTTCAACAAGAAAGATCTTCAAAAGACATACATTTTTAACAATGTGAAGCTATCTAAATGTTCATATATTTTAACTAAAATATAAACCTTAAAAATAAAAAAAAATTTAAAGGAAACTATTCAACATAATAAATAACTAACTTAATTTAATATATTGTATTAGTTATAATTTTTTTATGTGTAAAAAATTCGAAATAGAAATGTCGGCCTGACCTAATGGGAAAAAATGTATGTTTTAGTCCAAGGGTTCGATCCCCAAAGTGCCAATATTATTTTTGTGATTTTCTCATTAGTGTTATCTGGTCTCTGGTGCAAGCAAGCTAGAATATCCGTCCCATCCTTCAGTGGTTTAGCCAATAACCATCTATCTTTGACTCCTTAATATGTAAAAGAAGACCACCACACTCTGTAAAATGTTTGAGAAATAGAAGGCTGTAAAACTGATAATTATAATTGTTTAATAAGTTCAAAGTAATTTTAAAGTAATATTTTAGAACAAGTATTTATTTTGTTTATTTAATCGTTAAATTGAAAAAATTTGAAAAAATGGCTTTTCAAATTATCGTGCTCACTGTATTTGTTTTAATTGTTCAGCAATATTTATTGAACACATCTTCTTATAAATTACTAGACATTGTTGAGATAGTTAAAACGCTAATATATTTTAGTCACAGTTTTTTCTTAATTGATTTTGTTCAATTATTAATTGATAAGAGTTGAATCGAATTTTAACAGAAATTTTGTTTTAAATAAGCATGTAAGGAAATTTTAAAAATCATTCCTTGAAGTCCTTAGACTGAAATGAAATTTCATACTAAAATATTAATTATATACAGTAAGATATAAAGAAATTGCATTATTAGTATGATTTCCATTTAATTTAGCTGTAATAAGTGGGCTTTTTTTAATTTTCTTCTACAGAAAGTTTTATTTTTAAATGATATTCCTAATTTTATGATTAAATTATGATTTTTTTTTTTCAAAAACTTTAAAAATTTGACTTAATTTATTACAATTATTGTAAGGCACCTAATACTAATATTTAGAGATGATATTTAAATGCAATTTTTGACAGTCATATGTGAATTGAGGAAAACTTTATTTATATACCATTAGTTATCAACGTTCTTAAAAACAACATATTCAATTGAGTAACAACCTTAATGTAATTAAGAAATAAAAAAAAAGTTTTTAATATTTGAAGGACGCAATAAAATCTAAATTGAAAAAAATGTTTTAATGTTTTACATAAAAATGTGTAAAATTTTTGAAGTTTTAAGTGACAAAGAAGATGACATAAGAATCAATAATTGTATATTTATATATATAATTTCACAATTAGCTAAGAGCAATTTTATAATGCAAACATTTTTATGGACAACAAAAAAAGAATATATTTTTAATGTAATTATATAAGGTAAATATAATAAGAATTCCATGCTCATTTAAAGCTTGTTATAATTTTTTCAGATGTTAAATATTTATATGATCATTCTCAATTTTAAAAATATTATAACTAGACAATGGTAGGTTCTTTAAATTACAAAAAAATGTAAACATTAAGAGTTCATTGCAACAATGGAAGTAAAAAATGTTTTAGAATGTACTGACTAAAGTATTTTAAAATACTGAATTTATTTTAAATTTTCAATGAGGATAACAAAAAATAATTTTAAAAAATATTAATTTATTATTGCTTCAAAATTACTCTATGTTAATTTTTATCATACATACTTTTATTAAGTGTATACGTTTTTATTTCTAGTGAATACAAATACGTATTTTTAGTATGCAAAATGTATGTTTTTGATAATCTTCAGATCAAAAATTTATCTTAATTGCAATTTTTCTTGTGCATATTTGCATGCTTATTTATGTGTTTTAATGAATATGAGCCTTGGTTATAAATGATTTATTTATACAAAAACTACTAAGTATCGATAATTGAATACTTGGAGTAAACAGGTTTTTAAAATCAATCTCTAATTCTACTTATCTACCACTTAACACTTATTTGTTTTAAACTTGTTGGAAAGCTATAAAAAAAAAATATTAACATTTATTTGTAATATTTTACATTTAATGGTCTACACTGCTAATTTAATAATAAAAAAATCTCGTAAAAATGAATACCTTATTGTTATCAGCTCTAGTTTTTTTGGCTTTTGCCAATGGAGAAGAAATTAAAAATTTTGAAATGTGTCCAGGTACCTAAACTATATTAAATAAATATGAAATATGAATGAATACATATTCTAGAAAATATATTTATTTCAAATTTTGAAGGAACAAGATGTAAAATCTCAAGTTTAGATGTTAATCCGTGCCCTCAATCATTAAAAGGAAAGATGTGTGAATTTTCAACCGGATTGAATGTGAGTGTGAATTTTAGCTACATTACTGGTAAGTCCATAAAAACTGAATTTACGTAAAAATAGTAGTTTTATAAAATATGAAATAATTAAAAAAAATAATTATTTATATTTTTTTGATTGGCTTATTACTAAGAAATTGTATCTTAAACTGTTTGATATTTAAAAGTTTGAAATATGTTTGTATAATTGTAAGATATTTACAAAATTATTACAGAATTTAGCTCAATGGTACCTAAAACAAATTGGTACGCTGTTGTGGGATCCTTAGAAGTTCCCAATCCTAATATGAAAACAGATGGTTGTTTGTACACCAGTTGTCCAATAAAAGCAGGTATAGAAGGTAAATATTACACCGGAGAAATACCTTTAATTAAAGCGATCCCAAAGGGCCAATATGTTGGTCAAATCAAATTTTGGGATGGAACGAAATTTGCAAGTAGAAAAGATCACTGTTGTTTCCGTCTTACAATAAAAATAAATTAATATTGTAAATAAAAATGATTTAATCATTATTTTAAATAGGTAAAATAAAATTTTTTACGAATAATCTACAAAAAAGATTAAATGCACAAAAAATGCTGTATTTAATTATTTATTTTATTATTAGAATATCCTAAAATTAAAAAATGAATACAAATTTTAATTTAAAACTAAAAATATTTAGCTCAGAAAGCCATAAAAATTGAAGAAAAATCGCGTATACTTATTTTATAAACAATGTTATCATCAGCGCTAAACACATACTAAGTATTTATTATTACGAAATACGTTTACTCGATTGATTAGAGTTTTTGTGGCTTATTGAGCTAAATATTTTGTTTTAAATTTATATTTTAAATATATTTTTTCATTTAAAATAACATTTGTGACAAGAATGTAAAATGGTATTAATTAACATTTTATTTTAATTGTTATCTTTCGTACTTTTTCTATTTTAACAGAACCTATGAATTTTTTATTATTTAAATTTGTGGCTTTTAACATAACAGATTTTTACTTATAACACTTTAAATGTCGTAGAAGTATATCGAAATTTATGTATAATGATAAATTTTAATCAAGAGATTGGATTGGAAACGAAAACGTACTTACAACTTTTGTAAATGTTCTGTTTCTTACTTAGATTTAACTGATAAATCAGTTTATAGAATGTGTTTTGTTATGTATCGAGAGAGATCTTTAGTTTGAAATTACTGAATTTTGAACTAGTATTTTAGTTTTATTTAAAAGCTATAAATCTAAAAAGCATTTGAAGAAAGATTTTCAATTGATACTTAATTATAGTATACTTGTTTTTAATGGGTAACATTTTAAGCATACAAATTTGGAGGTTATAGTGATATCTATTGATATTTTAATATTTTTTTTTATGACGAGGTTTTGTCAGCAAAATGATATATCTACTATACTATACAGAGTGAATTTTTTATCATAACCTCATCTATTACTCACAAAATCAAAATAATTTAAACACTTTTTTTGGTTACCTTTAGTAATAAATTGTTCTTAAATTATTAACTATGTAATATTTCTTAATGTTTTTTTAAATGCCATTTACTATTAAAATAAAACCTCAAACATTTTATATAACCTAAAATATGTGTTCAGATTTAAAAAAAACAAAGTTGACACCCAATCCATATAGGATGAACTTAATAAGTATTACATAGCTAATAATTCAAGAATAATATATAATTAAAGTAAAAAAAAAAATAAAACGTTAAAATTATTTTTGTAGGTAATTGAAGGGTTATGATAAAAAACTCACTCTGTCTACTAGAGATATCTAGAAATTACACGGTGTTCAGTAAGTCAGGAAACGGGATTCTATTGTTCTCATTGTTACAAACAATGAGAACAATAGAAACCCGTTTCCTGACTTACTGAACACCCTGTATAAAAATTAGTACATAAAAAATACTGTGAATTTTTTATATAGTGTTCAGTAAATAAGGAAATGGGTTTTAATTGTTTTGATTGTAACAATTGACCTGTTTTGTTACTTACTGAACACTGTATATTCAGTAATACTATTAAAGAAAATAAGTGATCTAACATTTATCACACATTTGATTAAATACAGTGTTCAATAGAACACCTATGAAAACAATAGAAGCCCGTTTCCTTATTTACTGAACACTATATAACTTCTTAATCCTTTTTTTACTTAAAAAATATTATGGATCATATAAATATCATAAATGTGTTAAATAATGTATACAAGATAGAAGTTAATAAGAAAAAAGTATTATAACAGGAAACGGAAAATATGTTAAAATTTTGATGTTACACGCCCCAAATATTACATTAAAAAACAAAATTCACCATTCAATTCATCGAAATTCTGATAAATATTCAATAATTTTTATTTATTTTAATATATCATTGAACAAATATTATGTGATATACTTATCCTATAGTATTATGGTAAGTGAAATATGAAATAAAGTACAAAACTCTAGAGGTATAGTATATAATCATATAGATTAGTAGAAGTTTATTTAAGTTAATAGTTTTGTGATACTTCAAAAGTTTAACTAGTAAAATAATTTTAAGGAAATTATAAAATAATAAATGTGTTTCTTAAAAAATATTTTTGAAATTCTAATAGTGTACCAAAGGTGGTTTAGAATAATAACTTTTGTATAAAACTATCTTTTTCAAGATAATTTTTGCAGATTTTCCAAAAATACTACATGTTTTAATCATATATTAAATTAAAAATTATTTTAAATCAAAGTCACCCAAAACCTTATCTTCTATAAGCAATAGCTATTAAAACACAATCGTAACAAAACATTCTATATTAGCAATTTTAATTACTATCAGATTTTTATCTATCATAGTGCCTTATATACCTTATAGTGCCTTATCTATACCTAGGTATAGTGCCTTATCTATACCTTATCCCATCGTTACGTGCCGGACTTTAGTAACTTTGGCAATTTTATTAATCATAGTTCAAACATTCACCAATTAACTATTAAATATTGATTGTCTATTGCCTTATATGTGTGGTGATATAAAGAATGCAATGATAATTATACTGAAGTAGATATTTTAACATTAATTAATTTTAAAATTATGACTGAATTATTGGATTTAATAATTTCATACTACTATTTTAACTTACAGTAAATACATTTATAAATTGTAATTTCTTTTTATCAGGCTTGTACTCCCAATTAATTAAATAGAAGCAATTGTGTCACATTCTAAAATTTAACTAGTCATATTAGCTTAGTTATAATAAGAATTACAAAATATTTATTATTTATTTTCTTTTACTCCTATGAAATTTCGTAACATTTTTAGTGCATTTATGGTATAAACTTAACTAAAAATAGTGGATTAAATAAAAATCATAAAAAAAGTCTAATTAAAGTTCACATCTAACACATTTTTCATATTCAATAATCATAACTTGTGTTATGTAACTTGATGGCTGACAATTATTATTAAATTATTTATACATTATACTTATAATATATACAATGTATATATTATATGTATATTATACATATAATATAATAATTATACAAGTATATAGTTATTCACATAAACCTTGACTTTATTATAAAGATTTTGTTGCATATATTTTGTAAAATACTTATTCAGCTGTTTAAATAATCCTATGCAACGCTGATTATATTTTTCACCTTTGTTATAGATAAAAAAAATAACAATACAAATAGATAGTACCGACAATTTGCTTGTGTGCGAATATCACCTCTGAACCAATAGTTATTGTAACAACAATGACCATGCACCGTTGCGAGAGGAAAGAAAGTATATTTGGAATTCGGTATTTAGCATTACAATCAAGTAGTTCAAGAACAACACGTATATAATTATTGACAAGATAATATTTCCGTTAAACATAAAAAAAAGAGAAATAAATTTAATAAAATTCCCTAAAAAATATTAAATGAATTGGTGGTTTCTGAAATTCAGCATTTTATTATGTAGACTTTAAGATGCCCCTTAAAAAAACTAAATTTTTAACTTAATAGTTACCCACTGCCGTTTAGGGCGATAGATGTTAAAACTGCATATACGATAGATCTACATAAAAAATCGTACCAAATGGATACTTGTACTAATGGTCGTATAAAACTTGTCTTCTTTTTAAATCGAACTGGTGCAAGTAAAACCGCAACACGAGCCAACTACTTCCGGTTGGTCAAACCAATTTAAAACGGTCATGACTGCAACACACTGTTCGGCAAAAACAGACGTCAATACCACCCAACCGGCAGGCGAGTTGTCATTCATAGCCACACGACGTAGGGACCGGTCAAACAACAGCGCCGCCTTACCGTTACGACGGTGGTGGTGTCTGTTTCGATAAACAATAAGACGGAAGTAGCAACGTACACTGTTAACACATGAATCTCCACTACACTCGACGGCTGCAGACACAATAATATAACTATTGCCGGGTGTCTGCGGCATACCTGTCGTGACAAACACGAACGTGCACAATAGAACACAAACTGCCACGAACTAATAATGTTCCAACATTGTAAAAAAAAATTCTCTGAGTACTTTTACTCCGACAACAATAACTGCGATTACCGGGTTACAAAAATTTGGATTTTACTAGACGGCAATTACTCCGAATGGGACAACTAATTAATTTATCCTAATAATTCTTACTTCAAATATCGATAATTCACGATGTTCATTAGTACAGATCTTAGATCACTTAACCCTTGACGAAGTTTTGTTGCATACGTTGTTGGACCCTCATAAATATTATTTGGTATAATAAATTCACCGGGTAATCATAAAGTGCATCCGTATACTAACTTAGCTGATGAACATTTTATATCCTCGTTCAGACTGCAACGTGTCCCTAGTAAAATAATAGGCATACTTTCAAACCAATTTTTTTACACATGACACATATTTGCACACTTTAACTGTCTACGAAAACGTTCCACAGGTCCATTAGATTGAGGGTGAAATGCTGTTGTCCTAATTCTTTTTATTCCACGCAGCTTTGTAACACTACTAAAAATTATAGATTCTAGTTGAGTACGTCGATTCGTTGCCAAACTAATTGGTACATCACGTGCAATCCAGTTGGAAAAAAATCATCATCATGGTTAATATTTTATTAATTTTTTTTTCTTTCAATTCAGAAAGGCGTTCAATTTATAAGTAAACACTTGTTGTTTGATGGCGGTTTCTCAAGAATGTCTGATATATAAGCAATTACATCGTCATTTAATGCGCCGTAATTTTTACTACTTGAATCACAAAGCATGATTCAAATTGTAAAAAACACATTTTGGGATTTTGCATTCAAAATCGTAGTACATATATATGTGCTGAATATCACTTTTGGGACCGGAAATTTCGTTAGTCATAATTATTAACATAATGAAAAAAAAAGTCACGTCGAGGTTACCATTTGTAGAACGAAGAGAAGAGAATTGAGCAGAGATAATAAAACTAGAGCATTTAAATAGGACGTAATAATGACCTATATACTAAAATTATTTTATTAATTATACGTGATGAATTATTACGTATTGAACAATTCAGTTCAATACTCAGTTCAGTAAAAACGTTGCCTGCATGTCATGCGCATCTTATTTTAAGCTATAAATACAGTTTACTTACGCATTATTAAAGAATAAATATTGAGCTTTTGTCTGATTTTTATGTAAAAATATTAATTTTTATAAAATAATCAATAATATCAAAATGTCAAATAACTTAAAAACAGATACACCATTGAAAAAAACTTCGTCATTGTCATCTCGAAATAATTGTGAGTTTACTCTCTCAGATGTAATGAAAAAATTAAAACAAATCGAGTCATCTCAAGACCAAAAAATTAAATCCATTAATGATAAACTTTCTAGATATGAAACTAATTTCTCTGTTCTAAATAATACTCTAGAAGGAATGTTAAGCTCTATTAACACTTTAAAAAATGAAAATGAAAATCTTAAATCTGAAATAAGTAATCTTCGGAGTAAAATTTCCAATATGGAATCCCTTTACTCAAGTAAAAATTTATCTTCTGAAGATATTATTTTAGAAACATAATATAGTCTTACTAAAAGCAATAATGTAATAGTCTTTAATTTAGCTGAGTCACCAAATGAATGTTATCAAGAACCACTACAAATTGCAATGGAGCTATTGACTGATTTAAATTTAAATAGTAGAATTACTTTTGCTAAACGTATTGGTAAAGGTAGATCAGCTGGCCGCCCACTCCTTTTAAAATTCGAGAATGAGTTGAGTGTATTGGAGCTGTTAAAAACTAAATTGCGATCAATTGAAAAGTGGAAGAATGTTTGGTTAAGTCCTGATCTTACAAGATCTCAACAAAATACTATGAAATCATTACGTTAGGAGTTGCGCCATAGACGTGATGCTGGAGAAAAAAATTTGGTAATAAAATATGTCCAAGGAGTTCCAAAAATCAGTTTAAAAAACTAAATTCACTTTCGTTTGATAATTATCATAAAAGTAACTACTTTTGTACTTATTGTAAAATAATTAATAAAAACTGTGTATATAATAATAGTTATAAGAATTCTGCAAACTTTACTCTTAGTGGATTTTATCAAAATGTTAGAGGTCTACGAACTAAAATAAAATTGTTAAAATGTAATATCCTACTTATAAATGCCGATTATTTCATGTTGACGGAGTCGTGGTTAAATACAGATATACTAGATTCTGAATTAGGCTTTAGAGAATACAATGTGTTTAGAACCGCTCGCATCGTTTCTACTAGTTCATATTTGCGTGGTGGTGGCGTAATAATTTGTGTTCATAAGAAATTTAATTCTAAACAGGTTTTCACTCCTATTACTAGTGTTGAACAACTATTTGTACTGGTGGAGGTTGGTGATAACAATAAGCTTTTGTTAGGTACTTGTTATATACCGCCAGTGAGCCCATTTAGTACATATGTAGCTCACACTGGGACAGTTGATTATTTGTGCTCATTATTTACCAATACACAAATTATTTTAACTGGAGACTACAATTTACCAAATGTTAAGTTTTCTAATTATGATCTTGGTATGGTATATTTAGGTAATTATTCACAAAATTCTGATATTATTTTTGAGCAATTTTCACATTTAGATTTTTATCAAGTAAATGAAGTTGAAAATGATTTTGGAAGGACATTAGATTTAGTATTTGTATCAAATAATTCTAATCGTGTTAAAAAAAGTGAAGATAATTTAGTTCCTGTTGATAGTTTTCACCCAGCACTTTACATTAGCTCTGACATTACTATAAGACCTAGCCGATCAGTAGTAGCTATTAATAAAAAATTTAACTTTAAAAATGTAGATTATGTTTTATTAAATAAATTGTTAAATAATTTAAATTGGTCTTACTTGTATGAATGCAATAACATAAATTTCGCAGTTGATAGGTTTTATGAATTGATTTTTTCAGTTATTGAAAAATCAGTTCCAAAAACCTCACCGAGTAAATCGTCGTTCCCAAACTGGTTTTCTAAAGAATTAATATCCCTAATTCGTAAAAAAAATAAATTACACAGGAAATTTAAACAAAAAGCTTCTTTATCTATTTACGAAGAATTTTCTGTAGTTACATTTAAGTGTAAAAAGCTTTCGAAAATTTGTTATTCTAACTATTTGAATGATATTCAAAAAAACTTAAAAACCAATCCTAAATTTTTTTGGTCCTACGTAAAAAATTGTAAAAAGGTAAATTGTCTTCCTTCTACCTTGGAGCTAGATAATTTTCATTCAGATAATATTAATAACATTGTTAATATGTTTGGCCAATTTTTTGGTTCTGTTTATTCAAATTCTAGTAATATTACAAATGGATCTTTTAGTAACATATCTGAACGCATTGATATAAAGAATTGTTATTTCTCAATAACTGAAGTTTTTGAGGGTCTATCGAATTTGAATATGACCGTAGATCCGGACTTTGTTCCTGAGATTTTTCTCAAAAACTGCCGTTACTCCCTTACTCATCCAATCCATTTTCTTTTATCTTTATCTCTATCATCTGGTATTTTTCCTACGACTTGGAAAACCAGTTATGTTTACCCTATTTTTAAGTCTGGGATAAGATCTAACATACGTAATTACAGACCTATAACTAAAATGAGTATTATACCGAAATTATTTGAAAAGTTGTTATTACCAAAATTGTATTACACTTTTAGCTCAATACTGGTAAACAATCAACATGGATTTAGAACTTCTAAATCTACAGTTACTAATTTACTTGTCTACTATTCTGATTTAATGTCTATTATTTCTAAAGGAGGTCAGGTAGACGCTATCTACACTGACCTTAAAAAAGCGTTTGATAGTGTTAATCATTCTATATTAATAAGTAAATTAAGTGCTATGGGAGTCGGTAACCCTATGATAGATTGGCTTTCGTCTTATCTCAGTGGCAGAAAACAAATAGTCAAAATTGGAGATGTAACGTCTTTTACTATTGATGCTACATCTGGTGTACCCCAAGGTGGGCATTTGTCACTTCTTTTGTTTATAATTTTTATAAATGATCTTAGTAATTTTTTCAATCACTGTAAATGTTTATTATTTGCGGATTATTTGAAGTTATACTTACAAATCAACTCACTTAGTGACTGTTTTAAATTACAATCAGATCTAGATAAATTTATATTATGATGTTTTGAAAATGGTTTACAAATAAATAGTGACAAATGCTCACAAATCACGTTCAGTAGAGTTAAATATATTTACAATTATCAATATGTAATTAATGGTTTTAACCTTTCTATAGTTAATCACATAAAAGATTTAGGCGTTTTTCTGTCTTATGATTTATCTTTTTCGAAACATATTAGCTATATTTATAATAAAGCGTCGCGTACATTAGGATTCATAAGACGTAATTGCAATGAATTTCATGATATTGATTGTTTAAAAACTTTATACTTTTCTCTTGTAAGATCTGGCCTGGAGTACGGTTCTATTATTTGGTCCCCATTTATAGCCAACGATATTAAACTCTTTATCGGGCAAATTTAATAAAAATAGGAATAACCAAAAGATTTTTTTTAATAATTTAAAAATGAACTCTCTATTATGTAGAAGACAATATTTAGATGTAAAGTGAATGTATAATTTACTCAATAACAAAATCGATTGTCCCGAAATTTTAGAAAAGATACCATTTAATATTCCTCAGTATTTCTTCGTAATAATTCCATTTTTTATATCCCTACCCTCACGCAGAACTATTGTAAAAACTCGCCAGTTAATCGCATGCTAAACTTATGTAATTCATTAAAAAATTTTGATTTTAATTATGATTCATCAACATTATTATTGTCAACATGTCGTATTATTTTCAAAGTATAATTTTAAGTGATCTTTCAAATGTTTACTTTATATTTATTTACATTAATTTTGTATTTTTTTTAGTTTAATATTTATAACTTTAAAGTTTTAAGTTTTATAGTTTGTTATTATTTGTATTGATTTGTATTATTTCTGTACTGTCTGCAAAATGGGCGTAATCATCATCATAATTTTGAATGATGAAATAAATAAATAAATAAATAAAATATTGTTGATAGATCGAAAATGTTTATGAAATAAAATAACATACGTGATTTTATTTTGAATAAAAATTTTAATATTTTAAAAATATGCATGTTGTACGCATATTGTTGAATACTATTGTTGTAACAGTATTCAACTTTTTTAAATAAGTTCATTTTGAATTTATTGAATAATACTATATGTATTTACAGAATACAGGTTAAGTTAACGCCGTGAAAAGAATGGCAAAATAAAAAATATCAAATTTTTTATCTAAAATTAAACAACTGTAAAAAAACTGTACTTGACTAGTATCTATACTAAACGATCTATTTACTTTCGAAAAATAAAAAATTGAACATAAATCAATTTTTATATTTTTGACGTTTCTAAAATTATTAAAGATATTTTTACCTTGAGATAAAGTCAATTTTCACTGGAAACTAAACTGGAAGGCCTGTTACTCAGGGTGCTCAAAAGTTCTGGCGTCGTTGTTCGTTCCAAAAAAAAATTTCATGTCTAAAAAAATGTATATAACAATTTTTTTTTCATCAGTTAAACATTGTTGACCTTGAATAACACAAATAAATGCTTATCGATGCAAATAACAATAAAAAATTGAAAAGATAAAAGAAAACAATAGTTATACATAATTATTTATTAGATACAACATGCCAAATTACTCTAATCATGGCGACCCTCATCACTCTTTAAATGTTGGTCTAGGCGACGATTACTCCCTTGGCCAGTGTGCACTTGGATCTAAATATTACCCGTAACTCCTCTAAAGATGATAGCTAAACATTTAAACTTATTTTTCTTTCAACGCCTTTTATTTATAGATAAGAATTCTATTTGTAACACAAGTAATTGTAATTATCAGAACAATTATATAGTGTCTTAACTGAAAATATAAATTAATAAAAGTTGTATTACAATAGACATTCTAGTAGTAAAATAATATACTTTTCACATACTAGTTATCATTTATTTTTATTCAAGGACTCCTTTTATTATCCCTACCATTACGGTTTACACTTTGAGTAAAATCTATTAACAAGATGATCACATGTATAATATATATATATATATATGATATATACCTCTCTCATTAAATTGCTAACAGCGTACTTATTATAAAACACTCTTCGGTAAACTCTTTATTTTTCTTCTTAATACTTTATAGACAATTGCTACACAATGAAATACCTAATATTAATATTAATAGGATTTTTTTTAAATATTTTTATTTATGCTGAAGAGATAACCAACTTTCGTCCTTGTTCAAGTAAATGAAATAGTATTTCCTTAGTTTTAGTAAATTTAATATTTATTGACTTACAGATTCAAACTGTGTTGTTACCAATGTACATATAAATCCTTGCCCAGAAGCTTTAGACGGCAACACATGTGAAGTGCCATTGGGTGAGAACGCATCAATTAGTTTCGACTACAACCCTCGTAAGCATACGAAAGTATTTAATTAATTTTACTTAAATGTATAATTTATTATACATTTTTCAAAAAGTTATATCATTATAGTATTAAAAATATATAAATGGATTGTTTACAAAAATCGTACTTTTTTACTAACTTTGATGTCCGATTTCACCATAAAAACAAAATTAAGTCCAAAATTTTATTTTTTCATGTTAAATCATATTACATAAGCTTTAATTTAAGATATATATATAAGTGTCAGTATTTCCGAAACACTTTCAAAAACTAAGTTGAAAAAGTTCTATTTTCTATATGTATTTTTAAGTTATGAACGCTTAATACGATTTAATAAAAAAAAGTATGTCGAATGAAAGAGATATAAACAGTATTTTTCATAAAAAAATTGTATTGATCCATACATTTTTCAAAACGTTATAGAAATATAAAGTTAAAAATGTAAAATATAAAATCGAGAATTTTAACATAAAAATTGCATATGGTAGCAATTTTCAACGTGAAAACAAAATAAAGTCCGAATTTTTTTTTTCCATGTAAGTTATATTACATAAGATTTAATTTAAGATATATATATAAGTGTCAGTATTTCCGAAACACTTTTAAAAAATAAGTTAAAAAAGATTTTTCGTGCAAAAGTTGCCATTTTGAATCCCCCCCCTGAAGGCTGGTTAAGGGTCAAATGCTTACAAAAATATAGCAAATGATAGAAAAATAACTAAGGTATTTATAAATAAAACATTATATTGATTCGTTTATTTTAAAAAAAGTTATAGCAGTTTTAAGAAAAAAAATATTAAAAATTAGCGATTTTTAAATTTGTAATTTTTATTGAATATTTCGCCTATTTGCGGGGAACGAGGAAAATTTTTAATTTTTGTGGATAATTTCTTCGACGAGATACAATAAGTGATCTTTGACACATCGTTTAAAGAAATCGGTTTAGCGAGAGATGAGAAAAAGTGGTAACAGACACAAAAAAAAAAAAAACACATCATAGTGAAATTAATACTTTCTCAGTTTCGAATCGAAACTAATAAAAATATTGGTTCATATTTCTTTAAATCTATCCAGAACACCAATGCATCCTGTTACTCCAATGTGTTACTATACATATCTCACCTAATTGATTAAATACAGAATATAATAAAAATTGATCACTTGTGGCTAATTAATTAAGTAAAATTAAAACTATATTAAAAATATTATTAATTTAAAAAAACTAAAAAATATTAAAAATATTAAACTCAAAGCCACAAAAAAATTAATGAAAAGTCGCGGATACGATTTGACACAATTTGAGTATGTGTTTAGCGTTGATAATGGTAACATTGTTTCCGAAATACGTATCCGCGACTTTTCATTAATTTTTTTGTGGCTTTGAGTTTAATATTTTTAATATTTTTTAGTTTTTTTAAATTAATAATATTTTTAATATAGTTTTAATTTTACTTAAATACAGAATGTTTTAATTTAAAATATAAAATAATTGATTTTATTATGTTTTCTTAGAATTCACATCAAACACTCCAAAAGCTAGATTTTATGGTATACAAATTATAGATTTACCATACCCTGGAACAGACCCTGACGGATGTTTGTACACAAACTGTCCAATACAGATGAACATAACACAAAAATTCAAATTTGAAATCGAAGTACCTCAAATAATACCAAAGGGTGATCATTTAGCAAAATTAAAACTGTGGAATGATGACGAAAATTCTATTTTAGAGGATCGATGTTGTATTATATTTGATTTGAAATTTGTTTAATGATCTTTGTTAATATTTTCTTTTTAAAGACGATTTAAATTCAAATGTATGTAATTGTATATTTTTCGAAATAAAAATTGAATTGATAATATTTCAATTTAACCCTTAACTTGGTAACGTATCTTTTAGGATACGGTATACTATTAATTTTGTAATTATATAAATATTAGTGAATTCAATGGTTTTCTTACGAGGGCTCATTGTACAATATCATCATGGTTATGAAAAAAGATAAACATTGCTTAATAGAGGGGCTGAAACCGGTTAAAATCGATTTTCCGGTTTTTTAAATTAAAACCAAAACAACACATAACCCAAACTGAATCTTAAAATCAAAACCAATGTTTTTAAAACGGTTTTTTAATCTTTACCGAAACCAATCATTATTTAAAACCATGATTCAATACCGCAAAGAAATTGCATGGTTTCAGTCCTTTGTTTTAATACCTTGATATAATATATTAAATAATATTTAATACTTGATGATGTTGATATCTTTCTTGATAATGTGAATTAGAAGATACAATCATGTAATTCTGCGTTTTTTGGAATCGTATCTAGATGGCGCAACTCATTTCTCATGGAGTTTATTTAAAAAAAAATGTTTTGATATTTTTATTTTAAATCACATTTATACCCTAAAATTTTTACATTAAAATTTTAATAATACTCTTACAGGTTTAACATGTAAATGGTTTTTTATTAGGAATTTTGTTATAAATATATAATTTTTTTCATCAATTATAATATAGTATACTTAAAAGCCTAACATTAAATTTAACGTTACGTAGAAGAGACTGCGGTTAATTGTGACACGGTTAGATTGTTACCAGTGGTAAATACAGAACTTTTTGAAGGGAGACCGCAAAAAGTATTAAGCGTCAAAAAAAAATTGTTGTTCATTTTATCATTCAAAATACTTCTTTTTAAGTAGGTGGTGATATTTTATGGAAGCGATGCACACTCTTCCTGGATTCGCCAATGAATGTTACAATTTAATTATTCTGAATTTAGATGTTACTGATCAACATAAAATATTATATCACATCAGTATTAATTATTTTAGTATTAACAGGAAGAAAATTGAAGCATCAATAAAATTCTACATACAAAAAAGAACAAAATTTAACATAGTAAGTAAATTGTTTGCATAAATTTAGCTCATTATTCGCTTTTGTTATAGGTTTTTGTCAATATTTCACATAAGCAGTGTCTTCAGTTTTTTATTTTGTATCGCTTTCGGTTATATGTTGGCTTCAATACAAAGCAGAGAAGGTATTCATTTGTGAATGTGTTAAAGCTTTCATTGATTGTCTTATTACTTGAAGTGCTTATGGACGTATCCGTGTTAACAGATGAGTTTTGACGTTTCGGACTCATTACAGAATTCATCTTCAGAGTGATGGTTGCTGTTCGATGGCTGCAATTATACTCAGTAAAAAGGTATTCTTTTACTATGATGTATTTTTTTTAGTCAAGACTTTATGACTACTTTTATTTCGAATAATGCAATGAGGTTTGTTGTCCCAAAACATGTGAAACGGTCACATAGTATGACATATAAAATAATACATTAAATTTTAAGTTAAAATATTTTTTTTGTGTTTTTAACTTATTTCTAATAGGTGTTAATATTGTGTAATAACTATCTAACAAATAAGGTATTGTATTTTTTATGAAGTATTTTTAAATAAAAGTATTATTGTAATTAGTATATAGTTTTAACTAGTTATTCACTAAGAATGATTCTAAAACGAGTTTTTATAACATAATATATATTATTTTATGAGTAAAAGTTTTTTATTTAACCAGTCTTTAAATGGGATTCGTTGTCACAAATTTTTAATTAACAAAGCTTCTTTATGTTCTTTTCGTGTAGTACTGCCCATTTAATATTTTTACAAAAAACAGGTAATATATTTTAGCAATAGTGGACATACTAGTTAAAAAATTAATTTTTTTAAAATTTTTTAACTTAACTAGATAATGTTTTTTATAATAAACTTTTTAACTTAACTAATTTAATTTTCCATTGAAATAACTTAACTTTTTCCAGTTAATTAGTTTAAATAACAATTAAGCTAAGGAGTTTCCTTTCCCAAATATTATATTTTTATAACAATAAATATAAATTTCTACATTTTCTCAAAAAAAATACGTGATTTATAACTGATCTTTTTTTTCAATAACTAGTTTTAAAGTTAAAACATTGCAACCAACATCAAAATGTACAAAACAAATAAAAAAATTTTTGCTATCATTAAGATTTTCTTTTTATTCAGTTGAAAATCGATTCTTAACTTTCTTTTAATCACCGACTAATAAAAAATTATTTTAAGATATTTTAGTTGAAAAATTATGTTTAAATGAAATAAACTCTTTTAAACTTGTTAAGCTAAAAAAAAATGTCAACTTATCTTTTACTTAGTTGGTAAAATATATAATTCGGTAACTTTTAACTGTTAATTTATCGACATTGTTCCGACTTAACTTAACTTAACTTGAGTTAATTATTTCGATTAACTTGCATTATCCTTGTATTTTATTTTATTTTAAAGCATATTTTTTATAGTTTGTAAGAAAACATTTGCCTCTCCATAAAAAAATAAAACAGAAATGTTGTGACAACTAGCCCCGATCTCCTCTAATAAATAATTTAAATATAGTATAAAAGAAAGTAATATTGGTCTTATTTTTAGAAAATATATGTAATATATAATACAAAGCTAAGTTAAAACAAAAAAGAAAACTTTCATTATTTAGCTGATTAGCTATCAAACTTGAGAGGTGACGACTTTGGCCACGCAACGGATTGTGGAGTCGCCACCCTCATGGCTCCCTTGCAAAAAGGAAAATGGGTCGCCAACCACTTAGGCGAGGGTCTTGATCAGAAAAGAACAACACCCGGACCATAAGTGGATTTAATAGAAAAAAAATTTAAAAAAAATAATAAGAAAACCAATAATATGCATTTCGATGAGATAAAGTGAATTAAAAAAAATTATTGATATATAAATATATACTAAAAATATAAAGTGTTGTTGTAGACTATAATACGCTGATACCTTGTAAATATATAACCAATATGTTGGTTTGATGTCACCAGTGGTGGACATACTTTAGTATGTCGAAGACCGTTACCTTAAAACTAGAGAAATATGATTTAAAGGAAAAAAAAAATAAGATACACGTGAATATTGAAGATATTCACGCAATAAAAAGATTTTTGTTGATTAAAAAAAATTAAGGGGACTTTATTAAATTATGACAATTAAGTTAATAGTGGACAAAACCCGAAGGCAAAAACCACTCTGCAAATAAAGGGACAAAAGAGAAAAGAAAAAAAAAAAAAATTATTAAGACAAAAAAAATTAACCTACAACTTTTAAATATTACACGTGAAGTGTCTTCCGCATCGGAACAAGTCCGTGTACTCCGGGCGCGGCGGATAATTTTTGTAATCTGGCCGGCCGGACCGTACTTGGGTACTGCGGGAATAATATATATATATATATGTTAAATATACATGACACACCACTGACCAATAACCTTATAACAACAAACGCTAAAATGATTTATCTATCATAAAAAAAATAATTTTATGACAGAAAAAAAAAAAAAAAAAAAAAAGGAAGGCTCAATACATTATTAAATAAATAAAAGAAAAAACAACAATACAATACCCAGTCCCGGATGGGACTCATCCTAAGATGGGGATCTCGGCCCCGGAAATGGCCGACGCCTTGCTGGATTAGTACATTATGTTTATACAACGAACACGAGAAAAAAAACTATAATTGGCTGCACGCACACAGCAAAACAGACCACGACGGTGGTTCAAAGGGAAGAGAGTTACGAAAAAATTTCTACACACCGGGCGAGACACAACGACGACGAACCCGTTTGGGAGAGGGTATCGGCTTAATGATTTACAAAATATACAACAGATAAAAATATGAACAATATTAGAGTTATACAGGTATGGACAGTGGTGGCCAGTGTATGTGTCATATAGGGAACGATTGTTAAACTGATAAAGAATATTGTGTGTATAGCGTTCACCTTGACAGCAACAGTACAGTTTTCTGATTACACGGCCGGATATAACGTACGCGCGCCCATTAGCAAAGCAAAACAGTAATCTATCAATATCATAACATTCACATTTTGTCACGTTACAAACTTAAATATATTAAGAAAAACTTGATTCGATAAAAAATTTAAATGATTATAATTGCATGAGTATTACTGGGTAAGTGAATTGATGTTGTATTAATAATACAAACTACCTCTTTTCTGTGACTAGAGCACAGTGGAGATTTATCTAAGAAAATTTTATAGACATGTATGATCTAAACGCAAACGAAAAAACAATGGTGTTATCATTCTACTGAGGTCGAGATAATGAAACAAGGGTTGGTGGCAGATTTCACAATGTTTCTGTACCACGTTGCATAGGAAGGCGGAAGTTTATTTTAACATGTTTGTTATGTCTACGAGTAGGAACTTACGGATTTATACATTTTATTTTAGTCATCCCGTGTACACCAATAATAAATAGATATTTACGTTAAATTTTTTTGGCCACGAAAATGATAAAATAAAAGTAATTATAATAAAATTAAAACAATGTTAACATTATCAACGCTAAGCACATACTGACACCCCGACTAGAAAAAAATATACCCCTAGTGACCTTATCACTAGTGACGTCATCACTAAGTAATATTATCACATTTCGCTGTTTACACAAGTTTTATAATGAATTTTTCTGTAGGCCATTAATTAAATTGTTTTTATTTTTAAACATTTCTATTGCCTCCCTAATATTAAGTTCTTTGAAATTATTTACGTTTTTAATTAGTTTTATGGTTTTAATGGAGTGATTATGTGTCTATAAATGTTCAGCCACTGGAGATTTCTCAACTTCTTGATTTTTAATGTTTCATAAGTGCTCTTTAAACCTGACCTCTATATTTCTTTATGTTTGTACTACGTAACATTTATTACAACTTTCACAGTGTATTTTATAAATGCCTGATTTCCACCCTTCTTCTATCTTATCTTTAGGATTACCTAATAAATATCTTAGATTATTACTCTTAGATGTTACTATTTGAAATTAATATTTTAATATTTTTTAGTTTTCAAATTAATAATACTTTTAATATAGTTTTAATTTTATTTATTTAAATAAAAGTAAAATTGGCTTTGACGAGAAGATAAAAGTCAGGGCAAGAAACAAATGTATCTATAATTAAAACATTCGATATTAAAATTTCTTTTTTGAAAAACTAGCGACGCTGTTTAAAATATTATATATCGCTTGAAATACATGATTTTCCATTCTCTCAATTAAACATATTTAATTTCTTTGCCAAATCACCTGAAAATATATTATTATGTAAACACGGTTAAAGAGTTATCTACCAATAGATTTGCTGAGTTACAATTTATCTATAAACTAAATATTTAGTTCTAAAGTCAGCTTACAATACTTCACACGTTTTAAACAACGATAATTTTTTATAAAATAATGGAATATTTAGTTTTATTTTTAATGGGATTATTTTCTAGTTATTGTATAATAAATTCTGAAATAATAACACAATTTCGCCACTGCGCACGTAAGTAAAATTGTCATTTCATCTTCAACATTTTATAAAACTTGTAAAATAATGTTTTCAATTTCAGATAGTAATTGTACTATAACAAACCTTAATATTAATCCGTGCCCTGAAGCTTTATATAACAAATCATGTGAAATTTTTTTGGGAAATAATGTAACAATAACATTTGACTATTTTCCTTGTAAGTAGGACAATTTCTAAACAAATCATTAGCATCAAAATGTATTAAGTATATTAGTTCATCATGTCGACAATTTAATAATTACACTGATCCAAAATTGTATTGATAATTTTTATTAAAAATACTAATATTATTCATCTAATATAGATTAGAAAATTAAAATTAAATGTATTTAAATTCAATTAGTCTAGTAACTAAAACTTAATCCCGAGAAGAAATATACATAAAAAATTTTCTATTACTCCAAACGAACAAAAATTATATGCATTAATTTACTAAAGATTATTTAATCAAAATACATTTTATATTTTGAGCATTCAATTAATAAATATGACTTTTATAGATAAAAACTAATATAATATAAATACTCAAATTTGAGGTCTAATTTAATGATAAACTTATAACAACTAATCCTTTTTAAATACTAAATTAATTATTCAAATGAGCCAAAATTATTTCTTTTACTTATATTATATATAAAAATAACCGTTATTATTATATTGTATACATTATACACTATGTATGTACTTTATTTATTTAGAACTAAAAAGACAATATACTAACACGTATTCAACTGTTAAAAAATATTTGCCCTTAAAATACTAAAATAAAATTTAGTATATATGGGAAACTAGTGCCGGTATAAGAGTACCAATGCAAAAGTATTTTTTTAAGACCCTTTTTTATAATTTTCTAGTAAAAAATATTTTAGCTTCGATGCGAAACTGAAAAGATATTAATTTTACCATGATGTGCTTTTTTTTAATATCATCTATGCTTGAGAGACCTTATAAAGTGCGGGCTCTAGGCAAATTATAAAAAAATATCTAGGATGAGATCTATAAATAAATATTGGATATTAACTTCACTATATAAAATTCATTACTGAAATTTGGAAAAATGTAAAAGATGCATTTGATACCTCATAAAATCTATGTTAATGCTACTAAAATGATTAAGGGTATAAAAATTCATATATTCGTAATTATCATGAAAAAAAAAATTATTTGAACTCTGTGATATGTGAAAAGGATTTTATATTTAATAGATAGTTTAACCAAAATATAAACTATACGACTAGATAAGCCGTTTTTAGAAATATATGCCTTTCCTCAATAACAACTGCACCCGAGTCGATATTTAACACATCGCATCTCAAAGTTTTCAAAAATTGAGACGTTTGATGCGCTAGTGATAGTCTTAAAAGTATCTCGCTCAATGGTATTTAGCACATCAATAACACTTCCAAATTGCAGTTATTCGAGATTGCCCAGGTTAGATGCGTTATTGATAGCCTAAACTTGAGGACTTTGAAATGCTGTTGATGCGCTATTCTTGAAAATTAGCATTTCACTAGCGTTTCAAAAACATCACAAATAATAATAATAAGAATAATATTTTTCACTTTATTTTAGAAATAAATATTATTTTTATTAGTATTTTAGAAAAATTATTTTATAAGTATGGAAAACTTTGATGTGTTAATGAAATGCTAACTCGATTTTAAAATTTTTATGATTTTGATAAGTTTTTGAAACGTTATTTTACAGTAAAGTTGAAAATTACAAATTTGATGCGTTATTGATGTGCTTAATTTTTGATATTTTATCCATTTTGGGACACTAAGCTGTTAGCTGTCCTACTCGAAAGAAAACAATAGAATTGACAATCTAGATGTGCTACTGATGCGTTAAATTTCGACTCGGACATGTACTTAACAACTACTTTTATTTTATTTTAGATTTTAATTCACAAGAACCAAAAGTTTCATTAAGTAAAGTAAAACAACTCATAGATTATCCATTGCTTGAAAATTATCATGACGGGTGTTTATACACAAGCTGTCCAATACAGAATAATGTCTTGCAAAAGTTCAAAATTGAAATTAAAGCAACAGAATCTGTACGTATGGGTGTTAATCGAACAAAATTAAGACTTTGGGACTCTAGTCATACTAGAAAAACTGACGATGAATGCTGTATATACTTCTCCATGAAATTTGTAGAAAATACGTCAATATAATTGTATACTTAATTTATTTATACACCTATTAATTCATTTATTTGTCATAATTATAAGAAATAATTATAAATATAACACGGTAAATATTAAATACATTTTTGTTATAATGCAATAAAGATAATATAATTAATGCGAGATATAATATACCTCACCTTTACTAATTATATAGTTTTATTTTTTTATATATTTAACTAAAATTATAATTTTCAAATTTCAAAAATATAACATACCACAGTTGTAGTGTATAAAAAAAATTTTAATTAAAATTAATTTAAGGCTCATTGCATTCAAATCGTGAGGTACAGAGTAAGATTAATTTTATTATATTATTGTAATAATATAATAAGAATTGATAATTTGTGGCTAATATTATTTAAAATATTAATTTCAAATTAAAAAATACTATAAATATTTAACTCAAAAAGCCACAAAAATTACTAAAAAATGACGGATACGTATTTGGGAACAATGTTACAATTATCAACGTTGAACACATACTGACACCTCGATCGAAAAAAACTTTTGATGTATCTTTTAGTGACATTATCACCTAGTAATGTTATTTCTTAGTGATGTTACCACCTAATATCAATTAATTAAATTATTATTATTATTAAACATTTCTATTACCTCCCTCATATTAAGTTTCTTGTCATTATTTAAGTTTTTAATTAGTTTAATGGTTTGAACGAATATATAGTAATTATGTCAATATAGTTTCAGTCACAGGAGATTTATCAACTTCTGGATTTTTAATGCTTTTTAAGTTTTCTTTAAACCTGACCTCTATGTTACTTTTTGTATGTTCTACTTTCACATTGTATTTTATAAACAACCGATTTACCTATTCGTTTACTTTATCCTAAGGGTTTCATAATAATTTCTTAATTTATTATGCTTACATGTTACTAAAGTAATGCTAAAATTCTTAAAAATTCTTGATAGCTCAATCGAAATGATCGGTTAATATAAAATGGACGTCCTAATTACTTTTTGTTACCCCACGTTAATCAGTATAATAGCTGCTCTCTTATCTTCATTCCACTTTTGTATTTGGACATATTTTGAAATAATGTTTTCGTCATATCCAATAAATCTAACTATTTCATTTATAATCCAAGTTCTTTATCAAAATCAATTTTATTCATCGGAATATTAACTAATCTGTAAACCATACTATTAAAAGCTATCATTTTGTATTGCCAACTATGGTCCGAATTTTTTGAAATGTACCTGAACGTGTGTGTGTTTTTCTAATAAATTAAAAAACTTAGTCCCTCCTACTATTTTAATTAATTAATCAAAAATAGTTCAATTTTCTCACTACTTCATACGTGAATTTATCTAATTGATAAAAGTAATTTAAATATTGTATGAAGACCTTCGTATTAAAATCTTTGTTTATTACTACAAAAATATCATTTATATACCTAACCCAAATCTCCGGAGAACTGCTATATATGTTTTTTATATTTTTTTCTAAACTAGTTATGAAAAGTTCTGCTCAAATTGGTGATAGCCAATTAGCCCATATATCAGCTTTATCTACCTCATATAGTTTAAATAAGTTCATAAATTAAAATAACTTATTTTTAGCCAGATGATCTACAAAAAATAAATTTTACAACTCATATTTTCTTTTTCATTAATTATATATAATAATTATAATAAAATCTTCTATTTAATTAAAATATAATATTATTGGCGTCAAAACTTTAGTTGAAACTAATATTTTTATTTTAATACACCATTAAAGTTCTGCCATGTGTATAGTCAAGTGTACACTATTGTGGGACACATTTCGATAAACGTTCATTTTAAGATCTTACAAGTCAAAAAATATTTACCGACTAGCCAGAAAGTAGTATAAAGATTGTAACTCGTTCTATAAGTTAAAGTGTTCAAACTAAAAAATTGTCATGAAATTAAACCAAAACTATTTTATAGTAAAAATCAAATATTATACAAATTTAGCCCGTTTTCCTACTTTTAATTTTATTGTAAATAATACATTTTTTCTAGAACACCATTCGTTAAACAATTATATAATATTCCCATCAAATTACATTTATAGTTTATCAGTATTATCAACTAAAAGATACCAATTCAGCTATATTTTTAAAGAGACTACATATTGTACATACTCGCTTCATAGTGTATAACAATCACTTCCAATCAACATTATGAAATATCTAACAATATTTCTATTTGGATTTTTGTTTTACAACTATATAAATACCGAAGAAGTAAAAAAATTTCGTCATTGTTTAAGTAAGTTGATGATAATAAAAATACATAAAATTATGGGTCACCTAATTTAGGCCATTTTTGATTTTTAGGTCTCTACTAGAAAAGCAATCCAAATAATAACTAAAAAAAAACACTAAAATGATACTTACACTATTTTAGTTTATTTTTTATTATGTAAGCAACAACTAAGCATATTGTTTGATTTTTCAAAAGTGGGTGGTCAATTTAGGTAAACTAATTTGGGTTAATTGTATCTTTAATGAACCCTGTAGGTTAATAATTAATATACTTAAATGTAAGATCAGATGGGAATCATATTAATACACCATAATATCCTCTTTAAATCAGGTATGATTGTTATAAAATGAATCAACAGTTAAACTCTTACAAAATTTAAAAAAACTATATAAAAATTTGGTAATATTTGAGTAATAATAGTTAACAGGGTATTTTATTAGTCCAAACACATTATAAACTTGGCATTACACAAATGAGACCCGATTTTGATCTATATCATTATTTAATGGTCTAGATATAGAGGTGGTTCAAATAAAATGATTGTCTCCTTTATTTTGAAATATCTATCAACAATTTTTGCAGATTCGAATTGTGTTGTTACGAATGTACATATAGAACCATGTCCAGAAGCTTTGGATGATAACCCGTGTGAAATATCTTTGGGAAACAACGCAACTATAACATTTAATTATCAACCTCGTAAGTATCTAAATAATTTTCTTATAACAACAAATTCTTATCAAAAATATTAATATTACAAATAATTGTTTGATTTTTCTCATTTTAGTTGTACTATAATTTTGAATTTTAACTACTATACATTCTACTACAATATTAAAAACAAAAATAATGTTTTAATTATTTAAAGATACTCATAATTTAGTGTGAATAAGTTGAGATATTTTAAATTACTTTACATAGTAAAATGTATTTAATTTTATTAAAAATATTACCTATTTTAAACAAATTTTTAAATGGAAAACTTTTGAAATTAAAAATTAAGGTGTTTACAATTCTTAGAATTTGTTATTCAATATTACACTTCATTAAAATCTATTGATAACCTTTCATATCAGTTTAACCTTACATTTTCTTTATAGACTCTCACTTGAATTATATGGATAGACACGTACCCAAAATTTATTAGCTTATGAAAACCCTCCCCTGATAATGAAATAATTAAATGTGAAAAAAGTGGGAATAGTACAATAATTAATTTATAAACTGACATTTATAAATTAATGTATGTCCTACCAGCCAAATTTAGCCTAATTTATGTAGTGTATAAAGTTTTTGCTATTGACAAATAATGTTATACACATAATAATAATAATATATATACAGGGTGTTCAGTAAGTCAGGAAACGGGTTTCTATGTCCGTTTCCTGACTTACTGAACACTCTGTATAATAATTTCATTACATTACACGAATTATAATTCAAAAACTATAGTCTGTCATTCATTTCATAAACTCAGTTATAGCATAAAATAATTTTTTCTATTCATTTGTATTTATTTCAATAAATTTTTTACAGACTTCAAAACACAAGCTCCAAAATCTAGATTGTATGGTGTAAAAGTTATCGACTTTCCATTTCTAGACATGGATTCAAATGGGTGTTTATATACAAGTTGTCCATTAGAAGTTAATGTAACAAAACAATACAAATTTGAATTTCATGCATCAGAAATATTTCCCAGGGGTGATCATTTAACCAAAATGAGAATTTGGGACGATTCAGAAAAAGCAAAGTTTGAAGACCAATGTTGCATTTTATTTGATGTAAAATTAATATAATGTTTTTATTTTTTATACACATAATTTTTATTTGCGTTTATGTTGAATTCTTAAATTATTTTGTTAAATCTACAAATAAGTTGATAACAAATTACTAAAATTTAAATAAATAAAAGTTGTTCCATTTCAATGGAAATATTTTAATTTACTAGAAAATAAAATCAATATAAAAAAATTAATAGGAAAGACATTTTAATTATTGAATGAACACATTAACGATATCAGTTAAAGTCTATAATCAAAATTTTGTATTAAAATAAAGTAGAATAACAACTCTTTATACTTACGACCCGGTTATCAAATCTTATTTATAAGTTTTTAATCCGTAATAATACACTTTTTTTGATATTGAAAAATTACATTTTTTTTATTACATTTGCAATTCTCAGTTCTAACTAGTAATTCTTGTAACTTTTAATTTACTTATAATTTTGTTAGAAACACATTTATTTAACTTTTTTTATGATCTTAGATTACGCTAAAAGCATATTTTTTAAATTTTAATTTTTTATATTTTCTTATTAAAAATTGTAATGGATCGAAATCAATTTTAGAACAAGATTAAATTGAGTTATAAGTATTATAATATATAAATTAGGCAACTAAATGTTTACTTTTTAATAATTTGACTTTGATTTTCAATTAAGAAACAAGTCAAATAAACTTAGTCAAATAAGTAAACAAGTCAATGGTTAATCGATATTAAAGACTCAACGTACAACATATAGGTTTGGGCTAAACTGAGTCAATAACATTAGTTGTAGATAAAATTAAAAGTAAATTAATTTTTTGTTTAATCATAATAATAACTCAACACAACAAAAAATGATACATTTTCTGCTGTCCAAAATATTTAGATGAATTATTTCATGATATTTACTGCTAATTCCAAATCAGGGTTCATATTTTCATTCTCAGCTAGTGTTTTTATTAGAACTAATTAGTAATTCAATTCTGATCAAACTAAATCATTATTAATACTAAAAAACACATTTATATATATATTTTGTATTCCTCATATATTTGATAGTCATTAAAAAAAAATTGAACTTTCCACTATTCAACTATTTTTTAGTTGAACTCATAACTATAAATTGCTATCAAAAGATATATAATTCTGTATAAAAATCCTTAATATCAACTTTTTTTGTTTTTTAGATGTCAAATAAATAATAAAAGAAAAACGTAAAGCTCTAAAATTCGGAAAAATTATACTTTTATTTTAATATATTTTAGTAAAATTTTTTGAGATTAAATAACATATTTTTGCAGATTTGTGAATTTTTGGATAAATAATACGATGGCGTATTATATTCATTTCAATATTTAATTTATTTTTGACATATAATATGAGTGACTTTTTCTTTATAATAAGTGGAATAACTGTCAATTAAGTGTTATAATTAAATCATATTATTTATTTATTTTTGAAGCGTTTAATGATTTAATCTCATCGTCTCCGCCAAAATTGTCCGTATTGTTTCCGCCAAATCTGATTAAGATAGATTTTCATTTCCGCCAAACCTATAGTTTATATCTGTCTATAAATAAAAGTTTGAGAACCACTGGTTAAAATATTTGCTGAAATAACCAGATAGTAATTATCCACTATTCATTTAATTGAACTTTTTACTATTTTTTTATTGTTATTAGATAACAGTGCATTGATAATTATGAATCGTTTCATTTACATTTTAATGAACAATTTTTAAGACACATTCTTCTATTAATATATTTTTAAAAATTTTGATAGAAAATATTTAATCTTATAATTCCATTAAAATATATAGTTTTGATAATGCAGTCTCAAAAAGCGTAGGGAATAAAATTGAAATCCGTTTCAGAAAAACAAAAGAGACAATTTATAAATTTAATAATGAAATTAGCTGATTTGAATTTGTGAAATTAATTTTCAATAACTATCAAAAAATGTATAGATCTATTTCAGCTTCGATGCGAAGCTGAGAAGGTATTAATTTTACCATGATGTGTTTTTTTTATGTCTGTTGCCACTTTTTCTCAGCTCTCACTGGACCGATTTCTTTCAAAAATCACAAATCGTATTTAGTTGAAGACCTTACCCTTAAAATTTAAAACCCAACCGTATATAAAAAATGCTATTTTTGTGATAAAATTGTCGATTTTCGATTTTTAACTTTAAATTGCTATAACTTTTCGAAAAATGTATATATCAACGCAAATTTTTTTTTTCTAAATACATAATATATACTAATTTCGCTTGACATACTTTTTATTTAAATTGGACAATTTTGCTCTTATACAGGGGGCATTCAAAACTTGAAATATACGTATAAAAAGTAAAATATTAAACTTAACTTTTGAAAATATTCCGAAAATACCCCGAGCTTTAAATATATGTCAAATTAAAGCTTAAAATAAATACTATAAATTCAAAAAAAAAAAAATTTGTCCGGACACCTTTTTTGCTATGAGAAAATGGCCATCTAATTTAAAGAAAAATATAATTTTTATGTAAAAATCACTGTTTAGCATGAAATATTTTAATACTTAAAACTGCCATAACTTTTTGAAAAATGAACAAATTAAAATTATTTTTTTTTTATATATATATTCATTTTATATATTTTATATATTTAAGAAACCTTAGATATTTTTCTTTCTTTTGATATCAATTTTTTGAAAATCAGACTCTAAACCTGCTCACAGGAGGATTCTAAAAAGCAATTTATGTATACAAGTTAAACTTATTTTAATATAATTTTTGAAAATGTTACGGAAATATTGACACTTTTATTTAATTTTATATTAAAGTTTATATATATACTTTACTATGAAAAAAAAAAATTGAAATATAGATTTTCTTCTAGGTTAAAATGGCTACTGTATTCAAAAATTTGCTATTTTTGTGTTAATATTCTGTGTTTCGTATTTTATTTCATTTTAAAATATCTTACAAGGTGAATACACTGACTTTCATGAATATTATATAATTTAATTGAAATAGAATAAAGTTTATAAGACATAAGAATTTAAACTTAATTAAATTTTTTTGCTTTTTTAAAGTCGAAAAGTAACATTAAAATTTTGAATTAGCTTAAATTGCCAATTTTATTAATCGACGAAAGCGACAAATAATTACTAAATAACACTTGTGTCTTTCACGGTTAGGGTATCAAGTTAAAAATCGCCTGTGGCAATTAATATATTGCATTTTTTTTTAATTAGAAAAAAATTTCAAATATTATGATTTTTATATCATTTAGATTCATTAACCTCAATAAATATCAAGGGTCCCATCACTGTAGTCTCCTCCATGAGAAGAAATTTCTTAATCATGTTAATATTATTTTATTATGTGTTTTTTTTTTTTGTGGCTGCGATTTATTTTTCTAACCCTCACTTAACCTACTTTTTTCAACGATATGTCAAATGATTATAATGCGAATTTAATTGATGGTATTATCCTCAAAATTGAAAACAAATTCCTTAATTAAATAAGAAGTAGCTTAACCAGCTTTATCCATTCAAACTATTCAAATCATTCATTTCTAATATTTTTAAAGTATTTATTGTCGAATTAGATTTGATATAATAAAAGTATTCAACCATAAAAGTAAATAATTTAATTTGTAAATTAATAATTTTTTTACTCTATTTGCGTGTGCTACTACTAGACTATAATATTTCAAATTTTTTTGAAACATGTTGTTATATAAATCATAAATCCAAAAAAAAACGATTTTTAGTTTCATCTCAATTGAACAATGGATTTTTACAATTACAATCAAATTTTATAATACAATCAATTGAGTAGATCTTTTTAATAATTTATTTTTTGATTGATTTTTTTAGTTAAAGTAAATCATTAAAATTAATTCAGTTCTGCATATTTCAATTGTAGAATCATTTTAAATGACAAAAGTTAATTAGAAATGATTACCTTTTCTGATAAATTTACCGTAAATAGTAATTATAAAATTTGCAGACTTCATATTAATCTTAACAAAACCATTTTTTACTATTTAATGATGTCAATTTCAAACTTGCAAGTTGAGCTAAAAGTTATGGCAATAAATTTAATTTTTTTTTTATAAATTTTCACAAAAAAAAGTAGGTTAAAAATTATTACTTTTAGCATATTAAAAATCAAAATCAATAATAATTTGAAAACTATTAATTATAAAAGTTATATATTATATTTTTTAATCTAAGAATTGCTAATCAGGATATAATTAAGAAATAGAAGTTAATGTTGCTTTTGGAAATATCCACCAATTTCTTAAAATTAAACACTATCAACAGATTTGCATTGAAGCGTTTTTATGATAGTGATTTTAATCACTATTAGATTAAACCTATACTGGACCCAACTAAGTCATGTCCTCATGTGCTCCGTTGTTTCATTATATTATTAAACGTATTAGATATTTTAGCTTCGATGCGAAGGTATTAATTTTACCATGATTTGTTTATTTATTTATTTTTGTGTCTGTCACTACTTTTTCTCACCTATCATTGGACTGATTTATCTCAACGATACATCAAAAAATCACAAATCGTATCTAGTTGAAAACATTACCCTCAAAAATTGAAAATTTTGCCCTCATACCCTGTTAATAGTAAATATCTCCCAAAAAATTACGATTTTTAAAATCGGTAAATTTCGATATTTGTAAAATTTTTTTTCTAAAAATTGCAATATCTTATTGAAAAATGAACAAAATAATATAATTCTTTTTTATATTGAAACCATAGATATTTTTCCTTCGTTTGATATACGTTTATTAAAAATATGACCCTTTATAGTAACTTCTGCACAAAAATTTTAATTTTTCAACTTAAATTTTGAAAATGTTTTGGAAATACTCCGATTTTCAAACATATACTAAAATAAACTTAATATTATGTACTATAAGTTCAAAAAAAAAATATTTGTCCCCACGACTCATCCTCCATTTGAAAATGGTTGCCGTAGATAAAAAACATGTAATTTTGGTGTTACAATTTACGATTTCATATTTAATTTTTTCAAATTTAAATTACTATAACTATTTGAAAAATGCATGGATCAATACAATTATTTTTTTATAAATATTTTATGTTTACTTCTTTCATTTGTTATACATTTTTGAAAATCTAACTTTTGACCTATCCATAGGGGATTAAAAATAACAATTTTTACACACAAGTTTAACTTTTTGTACTTAATTTTTGAAAAATTGTCGGAAATATTGACACTTTCATTTAATTATAAATTAAAGCTTATGTAATATACTGTTCTATGAAAAAAAAAAATTTCGAAAAAGTGAACATGGTTATCATATTCAAAAATGTGCTATTTTTGTGTTAAAATTATTGGTAATGTATTTTAATATACCTTATAATAAGGTACACTATTTTTCTTGAATATTATATAAAACTAATTGACACAGAATATAAAGTTAAACTTCTTTCAATTTTTTTTTTCTTTTGAGTCTAAAAAATTAATTTTAACATTTAAATCAGCTTTGTATCATTTCCAATTTTATCAAAAAACGAATGCGACGAACGTTTGTCGATTCAGTAAAAATTATTGCCTGTGGGATTTAATTTTTTGTAATTTTTCCTTAATTCTTTTTGAGTTAGATTTTGCTTAAATTTAAGAATTTCTTAAAATTAAACACTATCTATAGATTTGTATCGAATCGTTTCTTATGATAATTATTTTGATCACAGATATCATCTATACTAATCCCAAGTATGCCACGCTCACACTGTGCCGCGACCCCACTGTGTTACTGTTTTTTTAAGCTTATTATTAATATTTGAATTTTGTATCACTGTTTTGATGACTTTTTATTTTCTTATAAACTATATATTTATTATTTATTACAAATATGTATATACATACTTACGATAGTTATTTTTTATAATTTATTTACCTTAAGTAAAACGTCATATTTTCTTTATTAAGTTAGCCTATGTGATAAAATAAGTAATTATTCAAAACGACGTGTCCATATATATAGGTGGTAAAGGAGGTCGAATGTCATTTGATATTGATGGGATAAAAAATTACTTCATTTTGCTCATTAATATTAATAGCCCACGCAAAAATCTTAAACACAGACCTAAACGTAACATTCAATAAAAGCCATACAATTTGGTACTGGCAGCTATCTAATCTACCCGTATGCTAAAACCGATACTGGTTCGTCGTGGTGACCCATCGATAAAATTAAATAGTTTTCAAATTTTTTAGTAGATAGACAGGTAGAAGATCAGTTTGACGGAAACGAAAAACCGACCTTATTCAAGTTTGGCGGAAACGATACTTGGTGGAAACAATACGGTCAATTTTGTCAGAAACGATAATCACTCGATTTATTAGTACTTATCTAAAAAACTAGACATGATGCGAAATCATAAAATCTAAATCCAATTTTAAAATCAGCTGTTACATTTCAAAGATAATTCACCTAACTATTAACTTTTATTCTGTATAACCGACAAAAATTTGTTTATTGTAAAAATTGAATTATTATAATTATTGTAAATTATTACAAAAGTTTAATAATTATTGATAAACTGTTTTTCTAAAAAAAAAAGTTAAAAATGATCATATAATAACAGATGTGATAATTTTGTGTCATAAGTAACGTAAATATTTTGAATTATTTATAAAAAATAAAGTTATCTGAAATAAAAGACCAAAGAAATTATTTTATTCCTAAACTATGAATAAATTTATTCATAATAAAATAATAGATTATGATTATCAATTGTCATTCAATTTTTTTCTCAATTTTTAGGAAATCATCAAACTAAAATTGAATTTGTTTTTAGAAATATAAAAATTTAACAAGCTTATATGTTGTATTTTTAATTGGAGTTGTAATGACCAATTATCAAATTTGATATTGTAATTAATATTAAGTAATAACACAGTTAAAGATTTAAAATATAAATACAAGTTGTACATTGACTAATTTATCTATAACGTCATTCCCTGTAGTATTAAATGGGAATACCTGCGAACTGTAGAAACTAATAAATCAGTAATTCTGAATATACCCCTTCAAAGATTGTTCTTCAATTATTATAACTTCCACTTTAAATTTTAAAGAAAATATTTGCTATTTTAGTATTCGAACTCCAATTTTTCAGAAAATTTATGTAAGAAAAAAAATTACTTAACCAAACGTAACAAAAACGTTTTTAATTGGATAAAATAAGTTTTTATATAATATATAAAAACTTATTTTATCCAATTATATTATATTATAATGAAATATTTTATAGCAATTAATGAACAATAATAATTAAAGATTTTTTAAATTGAGTTATAAGATAAAAATATTTCTTTCGCCATTTAAATTATTTAATCAACATATGTTTTTCTTAAAATATATTTTAATTATTATTTTTTATTTGGGTTAACAAGAAAAGGTTAAATAACTGACACAATTTCATTGAAATAAAATATCAATAGAAAAAATACTTCATTAATTAATGAAACCTATCTATAGTACCTACTTACCAATCTATACGTTTGTCTATTAGTAGCATAATAACATTCAGTACCAATAATAGCTATAAAACAATTATTATTAATTCACCGGATGTTACTAAAGGACACAAGACGGATTTAACACATCTTGATGACCTTGAACTATTTTAAAGTTCAATTTACTAGTAAATAAAATTCACTAAATATATATACATATACGTGTGTGTAAATTATTTCAAAAAGTAAATTTAAAATAATCCCAATTAATTATAAAATGTAATTATATTGTATATATATAATAGTAAATAGCTTTAACTTCATCTTGTTTAATTAACTAGCTTACATAATCCTAATATTAAAATAAATTGCTAATTCATTGTTATTGTTTTTAATATACTCACTGAGAGAGGTTTTATTTTTATAATGAATCAAATCTCATTTAACCGAGAAATTATAACTTGTAGACTTCAGTGTGCAGACTCCAAAAACTAAGAGCTACTCTATGAATATTAAGCTCTTGTAGTTCCTTTTTTCCTTAGCACAGATCTAGATCTAGATGGGTGTTTGTATACAAGCTGTCTATTAAAGGCTTTACCACCTTTATAAAGGTGGTTATTTATTAAAATTGAAAATTTCGGATGTTTCAAAAATGCAAAGTTTTAAAATGAATGTTAAGTTAGTGACTCTTTTAATAATGCATGAATCAAAATAAAATGTTTAGTGGTAATATTTAGACATTAGACCTTTAGTACCTTACTTTCAACATAGTTCTTTTGAAAATCCTATCATTTACTAAAATACAGAGTGTAAATAATCAAAATATCATTTTTTACTTTTTATTTTTTTTAAATATTCCAAAATAATTGAATTTTTTAATCGTGCATCAAATTAAAGCTAATACAATGCACTAGAAGAGGGAAAAAAATCTCTCCAAAACTTTAATTTTCAAAAGTTATTTAAACTAAGAATCATACAATTTTCAGAAAAAATTACTGATTTTAAAATGTTTGCATAGCAATAGAACATTCACATAATTTAAAACTAAATAAAATTTGTGTACTATACGATTAAAAAATAATCCGGAGACTTGACTTGTATGAGTAATCGATTTCTAAAGACAATAATCATGTTATTTTTGGTAAATCTGATCATTTTTTTAAATTCGTTATGCATAATACACATTGAAACGTTTTATGACAAAATTTTTAATCACTATCAAATATCAATCAATATTAACCCAAAAAAGTCTTTCAAGTTGACAAAACAGAATCTCGACTTTACTTTTCAATATTTATTTAAATTTTTTAATCTTAATTACTGATAAATAATTATATCACTATAGACATTAATTATGTGATAAAATAACAAATAATAAATTTTATAATTGTTATTAGAGTTATTAAGTTATTTGACAAATTACTCAATAATATTAAATAATAAACTTATTTTTGAATAAAATATTTACAGATAATTGGAGTTTATAGTATATTTATTTCATCCTCATTTAGCAAAAAAGGCAAATAATAGAAATGCATCTGGCTTTAAACGCGGTACACGTAAATAGAAGCGTAAATCATTTCCTACATATCGGATGCAGTGTGTCGACGACAAACTGTTTCGCACACAATAATCTTTTTAAACAATTGATTTTTAACGGTTTGGAAAAAGAAAAGTTTAATGATCCTTTGAGCGTCGCTATAGGTGTTCAAAGCGCAGCATAATAACAACGATTAATTAAAAATCGCTGACGAATAGTGTACACATATTTGGGTCGTTGTATATAAGATGACTTTATTTGCCGGAAACGTTCAGATGTATTTGTTTATTTGACGGTTGAGCACCGAAGCTCCAAAAATAATGTTTTTCAGTAAAGTTTTTTTATTGGTGGTGCTAGCAGTGTGCTCTTGCATTAGCACGAAAATGGATGAGTCAAAAAATGAAAAAAGTAAGTACGGAAAGCACCTATGCCTTATTAAATTTTAAATACTCCAAGTTAACCTATTTTTCATTGAACAAAATTCCACGAAATTACATTTCGATATTTTTTGGAGGAAGGTTTCAAATAGTCAACAAAAAATTCTAGTTATCTCATAAAATATTTTTTTTAACGCATTAGTTATGATTCGCCGTAGTTCTTGTCTTTGATTTCTACAATTTCATATACTAAAAAGTATTTAAATAACTTTTTGAAGATTTTAAAGATTCGTTTTATCTGGAAAAGTCTTTTTCATTAAATTCATTTTAGTTGACGAGGCTTTCGACTTAAACAAACAAGAACACGATATAATTTCAGACCTGTTACATCAGAATATATTTAAACCAGATTTGTTGAGTAAATCCATCAATGCAGCATCAATGAGAACTGTTGTAAGAACATCCTCTGATAACGTACCAATGGCTAAACATGCTAATAACAAATCAACTCAATTATCTGACGATGATAAGACGAGAGCTGTTGTAGCTGATGTAGGAGGTGCTAAAAGTGCAACAATATCTGAAAAGAGAGAAAAATGTAAAGAAAAATGTCCAGCAAATATTAAGGATTGTTGTCGAAGCGCTATACAAGGCAATTATTATAATATTAAATTTAATTAAATTTTTTTTATGAATTTATAAATTAAAAATTTTGTAAAAGAATAATATTTCATTTTTTACTTTTAGATAAAAATACATAGCTTTTTAGCAATAATAACCCGTATCAAGTTTTTATTAACCATATTAATGTAATAATTTTGTTGATTTAACCAGTATGTTTGTTAGAAGAATATAAAATTTTATTAAATTAACAAATAATTCGTTAACACAAAAAAAGAGGCTTAATTATTTAAAAAAAAACGTAATATTTATCTAACAAAAATATTATTAGACATATATTGATAAAGAGTGTGTTGAATTTACTAAGGAGTTTTTTCAATATATTTTAATAATTTTAAATGGTTAAGTATGATGTCATAACGAAATAGTAGTACTATTTCATCCCAATAACTGAACTAAATATTAACAATAAAATTTCATTTTAAATACAGTAAATAGAAATTAATTTTAGATTAATTTTTATATAATTTACACATTAAAATAAATAAATTTAATGTAGGCTATTTTTTTTATAAATAGAAAAAAGCTGTCACAATGCTACTGATGATCCAGTATCATACTTTGTCAACCCTAACTATCCTAATGAAGATTGGGATTCATCTTTCTGTGATTTCCGTGTAGATATTAAAAACAGAAACGTATGCCAATTGCGGTAAAATTGATTTTAATTTTATATGCATACTCTATACATTTTAAAGCTAAATTTCTATCAAATATAGCTTGGATTTAGAAGAGTTTTCTCTTCGTGGACCACATAAGTATTTGGGAAGTTGCCGTCAAGATAGATTGATTGTCTCTACCACTTTACCTAATGGTATTGGCATAACTGAGCTTTGTGGAAACAACACTGGACAGCATCGTAAGTAATTTTTGTTAAAAGTAAATAAAGAAATTTCATATAGCAATAATAATAATGGTACACATAATATGCTAAATATTTTATGGTAAAATAAACATTGAAGCCAATAAGGCTTAATCTTTATATTATTATTATATAATCGTTTGATAGAGACTAAATAAATTATATTCATCATTTTGCAATATATAAACTTATACGTATAGAAAAAATCCCTATCAGAGAAACAATTTATTAACCTCATATATCTTTAGAATAATTGACGGATAATATCAAACAATTTTAGGCTTTAAATTTATTTATTTTTTGGAATTAGAATCATCCCCAAAATTAATTTTCAGGTATTTCGAAAAACAACTTACATATTTATATTTTTTAATTAAATTTTAATACACGTGTGATCATTTTTGTTTTCAGTATACTTTCCGGTAGACCCAAAAGCTGGAGGATCATCTGTTTCCTTAATGATGATGACATCACAATCATCCAGGTACTCGTGGAAAGTTAGAATTACCCAAATCGATTGTCTTGCAGATCCTCAATCTGTGGGTAAATACTCTTCAGTTAACAAATTATTTATTTATTTATTATTTGTACATCAATTAATATAAGTAATCACAAATAAACGAGTAGATAATATGAGGTAAGGTCAAATAGTAAAATCAAAGTTACCAAATATAAGCCCTTATTATAAAATTTAACCTCCCTTTTTTTAAATTAATTGTCTAAATTAAATTAAAATTATTTAAAATAGGATAGTTAAATAAAAAAATTCTAAGCAAATATCCTAAAATGAATTAGGAGGATTGTGATCGGTGTAGCTATAAATTAGTGATTAATGAATAGTGTGGAGGTATATAATACTTACGTCTTTCATAATTTTTATTTTATAATAAATTATGTCTTAGTACACTCCAGTATAGCAATATTTTAACTATAAATTACCTTATTAAGAAATTTACAATTGTTCCGGATTGTTTCAATTGAGCTGTTTCTTCAATCAAAATACATTATCTTTTACGATTTCAAACTAGATTGAAAAAAATGTAGGTCACTATTAGTTTTTATTCAAATTTACGAACAACAAGATATTTTTAATAAAGCTTTAAGCGAGAGGTATTGAAGAAAATACATTGACGATTCCGGATACATGTTATGAGCTTATCTAAAATAAATTAATAGTCTTTGAAAAGTATAATTAATTAATAAAGTATTAATTTTAAGAGTTTAATGAGTCTATTATGTACCTAAAGTTTTCGTTGTCACATCTTCTTTTGTTTAATTATTATGATTCTGATTTAATAAAATTGATTTTGTTAGCTCCTACCGGATGCCTGCAATACCATACTAGTCTTAGTGGCACCATACAGAGTTTCAACTACGCAGGAGGCATGTACCAGTCAGGTTTAGATTATGCGATATGCATTAAACGGTCCGTTAACACTTGTCGGGTCGAATTTCAACAGGTTCCTGGCTCTACATTTGGAATTAACTCACTGGAAGGTAAATACTATTAAATTTACAATAGCTCGGAACTTATTTTTTAACGAAAATTCAAAATAATTTTTACCCATTTTCTAAAAATGCTCTAGTTACTTGAAAATGTTTATTTGTTTTATATTTATAATTTATCTAAGATTTTTATATCAATTTTGTAGGTTCATCTCTTGAAGAAGGAATTGGACGAGCAGGAGAAGTAAGCTGCGATTTAGTCACCCACGATTATCTACACATACCAGGTGGTATGTTGGACATAGGTGAAGAAGTTTTAGCTGCTAGTGGTAATGCCGAAGTATACACACCAACTGCTGAAAAATTCTGTGGGCGTAGTTTGTCTGGATTAGCCATCCAAGAATTTGCAGAAAAAATTAAAGTCAATGATCCTTTGGGCGCACAAGATAATAATACTATTGCCACTCCTGTAACAAGTAAGTAATCACTAGGGCTCGGGAATTTATAAATTTGTTTGTGGCACTTATAAAACACCCAACTTCATGAAAATTAATCATAGATACCAAAGTAACACTTTTTTATAGGGTAAGTGATCTTACCACGCCCCCCATGATTATATTCATAATAAATATACATATTTTAGTGTTAAGAAATATAAATACTGGATATTAGAGTTCTGCATGAGCCAAGCTTGTAACAAAAAAAATTTGGACTGGGTTTAAAAAATAATTCATCTGGGCTGAGCTTGAGTGTACATAAAAATTTAGATGACCCGGATTATAAGCTAATAAGTGTCCAATGAACAATTACCTAGCCACGCTAGATTTTTGTGTGTGTATATGTAAACGTGCTAAATCTAAATTGATTCAAAAATTATAAAAGTACTAACTTAATAAAACCGAGCTCTCATAGCTCGATATAAAAAAAATTGAAGGAAATTTAATAATATAAATATGCAATTCTTAGTGAATATTATACGGGATAAAACTTTATGACTATTTTATTATTTATTATCATGACATTTTTAGTTTTTTCGGATTTGTTATTATTATTATTATATTATATAGTAAAAAATTTGATGGGCTGGGTCAATCCAAGTAAAAAATTAAGTAAGCCGGGCTAGGCCTAAAAATTAACAGCTCTGCTTCAATGTACTTGGAATGACTAAAACAAATTTATAAATGCTTGAAGTACCAAGACCTGTTTATCATGTAAGATACTATTAAACTATAAACATTCACTTCAGTCTAATTTATATTAAAAGCGTACTAAGAATAGTAAAAGTTAATTACTCGATTAAATAAAAATAACTCCATCTGCTTATTTATTAATCATTGTACAATGATAAAGTCATATCGACTTTATATCATTGTATAGTTAATATAATATATAATTAAAATAATTAAATCATATCGATCTGAATAAAATAATTCTTTTAGCATATGCTTCTGGTCCAATTGTTATTCGTTTCCACACGGATAGTGTTACTGTAAAAGAAAGAGACATTGGATTTTCAATAGCATATCAACAACTTGGTACGGGGTGCAACAAGAACAAGATCAGATGATGATTTCTAGTTCCTACCCCTAAATTTTCATGTTAAAGATTTTTAATTTTAATAACATCAAGAGTATTTAATTTATTAAATTATTTATTTATGTATTTTTGTATATGATTAAACTTTTATTGAATACAATTTTTATTACTGACATAAGATAAGAGTATTGATTGTTTTACAACTAAATGTAGTTATGTTGACTGCGCAAAACTCTTAGGAAATCAGTGTAACAATATATTCATTGTAAAATGTATACCTAGATACCTGCCTTAAGTATCATATAATATATTATTATATAAGGATGGTTCTTATTTATGCAGGTAAACATATTCTTTACTACTTATTATTGTATCAAGTTTTTAGTTTTATTTAAATAATAGTATAGTGAATAGCTACTTTTATTTTTTATGTAATTGCCTAAATATACCACGAAACCAAGTTTATCTATTAAGACCTATGAACTATCAAATTACTGAAAGTAAATTTCCCTCTATAAAAATTGTTTAAGCATATGTTATATTATAATTTAAGAATTGCAAAATTGAATTTGCATAAAAGCGCGTGTAGTGGTTGTTAAAGAATGATTTTCTACTATTCTGGAAAAAAGTTCATATACCCACAAAAGATTCAACTAATATTATGAGAAAATTAAAAATATTACACGTAGAACTAAGAAATTTAGAAAAAATAAAACAAGGAATAGTGACTTATTCAGAAAAAGGGAACAAAATTTTGTAGATTAAATGGAAGATTTATTTGATATTGCTCATGCAAATGCATTCAATATAATGGAGATTCAGGATATTGATATCTTACAACTTCGACAAACTGAGACTGCCCCAGTTGTATGTAGGTAGTATATATGAACTTAGCAAAATTAGTAAAGAGAAAAAAAACTATTTAATTTAGAAAAACATTCAAGTTCTTCATCCGATTCATCTTTCACTAGTGCCTGGTCAACAAGTAAAAGTAGCAGAAAAGAACTTCTAACATCTAGATTGTCTGCCACACTTAATGCATGTAAAGTGATAGGGATGCCTTTACTTACTGCGTATTTGGATGCTTTATCATAAGATCCTAGCATATATGTTATAAACCGATCATAAATTAAAAGATCTCGTGAAAGTTTTGGACAAAAAATTGCTGAAAATATTAATTTTAAATTTCATGATCAAAATTTGAATTTTGTTGTATCCTTCGAAACACAAAAATATTGTCTGCCATTACAGTACAAAGAAATGTAGATCACAATGGTCTTAAATATTGAACAGCATCTTAAAATCTCTCATATACCCGCTGGGACAGGTTTAGAAGTATCACCATTTTAAATAATAGTTGAAAAACAATTTATTTATTTTATCAAAAAAATATGTGTTACTTAAAAATGTTCCTTACCGTCATTATTGCAATTAATAATTAAGTGTTTTCCAAGGTTTTCAAATGTAAACCTTAAATATATTGCTTATTGTTCGACAGTATCGTTTTATAAGCTGACAATGTGCACTCGACATCAACTCGATGTAATTGGCGCATATTTAAAGTAATCTATGTCATCACTTGAATAGTCTTTGGGAAAATTGCTGAAGTAATGTAAGTTCACTGCCATCTTCACCATAGAGTATTTTTTTCAATAGGCATGATTTTTTTCAAAAACTTTATTTTGTTTAGTAATAATTGGTTTCCCGTGATTACCTTTTAATGTAGAATATTTATGTTGTACATTTTGAACCACTGCTAGTGAATCACATAGTTAAACATCATTTTTTTATAGTTCAATAATGGCTTTGGTAAAAATTTCAAAATTACTTTTTATATAAGCCAAATTGGCTTCTAAACTTGGTTTCACTATACGTATGTTTACTTTTAGCTTCGATGCGAAGCTGAGAAGGTATTGATTTTACTATGATGTGTTTTTTTTTTTTTTTTTTTGTATGTTACCGCTTTTTCTCAGCTCTCACCGAACGGATTTCTTTCAACGATACGTCAAAAGATCACAAATCGTATCTAGTCGAAGACATTACCCTTAAAAATTGAAAAAAATTCCCCCGTTCGCCGTAAATGGGGGAAATCTCCAAAAAAATTACAAATTTAAAAATCGCTAATTTTCGAAATTTTTTCAATTTTTTTTACTAAAATGTGCCATAACATTTCCAAAAATGAATATATCAATATAATTTTTTTTTTTTATAGATGCTTGATGTCTTTACTTATCATTTGACATATTTTTTTTTGTAAATTTGACCCTTTATCTGCCCACAGGGGGGGATTTAAAAAGACAACCTTTTCATAAAAAATTAACTTTTTCAACTTAACTTTTGAAAATGTTCCGGAAGGTCTGACACTTTTATATATATCTTAAAATAAAGCTTATGTAATATACTTTAATTTGAAAAAAAAAAATTTGACCTCTGGACTTGTCTTCGTGGTGAAAGTTGACATCAAAGTTAATAAAAAATTACGATTTTTGTAAAATAATTTTTTTTTATATTTTTAACTTAATAATGCTCTAACTTTTTCAAAAATGAACATATCAATATAATTTTTTTTTATATAGATGCTTGATGTCTTTACTTATCATTTGGTATATTTTTTTTGTAAATCTGACCCTTAACCTGCCCACAGGGGGGGATTTAAAATGACAACTTTTTCACAAAAAATTAACTTTTTCAACTTAACTTTTGAAAATGTTCCGGAAGGTCTGACACTTTTATATATATCTTAAAATAAAGCTTATGTAATATACTTTAATTTAAAAAAAAAAAAAAAAACCCAGCACAGGGGGTCGCGGCACAGTGGTGACGTGGCATAGTTAGATCAAGTATTATGATATCTGACAGTGATTAAAATCACTATCAAAAATAAACGCTTCGATTTACTCAAATGCTTTACGCCTTTGACTATAACTTATTGAACAGTGTATGGATGAACACTATTTTTTTATGAGAAATAATATTTATATCTCTTTTTCATTCGACATATTTTATCTTCATCAGGATATTAGTAAGGAAATAGTAGATCATGTAGCTTTTGGAATAATCCACCAATTTTTTAAAATTAAACACTTACTAAAGATTTGCATCGAAGCGTTTTATTTTGATAGTGATTTTAATCACTGTCAGATATCATTATACTTGATCCAACTATGCCACGTCACCACTGTGCCGCGACCCCCCTGTGCTGGGTTTTTTTTTTTATTTTTAACTTTATAATGCTATAACTTATTGAAAAGTGTATGGATCAACATAATTTTTTTATGAGAAATAATATTTTTTAATAATCCCTTTTTCATTCGACATACTTTATCTTAATCAGGATATTAATAAGGAACTAGCAGATTATGTAGCTTTTGGAATAATCCACCAATTTTTTAAAATTAAACACTATCTAAAGATTTGCATCGAAGCGTTTTTTTTTTATAGTGATTTTAATCACTGTCAGATATCATTATACTTGATCCAACTATGCCGCGACCCCCCTGTGCTGGGTTTTTTTTGATACTGTCTGGTTATAAACCTGCCCTTCAACATCACATGTTTTCCAAATTTTGTTTTGTTGGATTTCAATTTTCAGTTTATTCATAGTAATATTAAAAATGTCGTCAATATAACCTTTTCGTAATGCTTATTCCATTGGAATACTATTACCAGTATACTTCTCTAAAAATGTTCTAAATATATTATTAGAAATTTTTTTAACAAAATATTGGCAGAAACCATATTGAAATTTTGAATTTTGGCTGATTAAATGCGATTGAGCTTTATTCTGTGCATATTTTTCATGACGCTCGACACTTTTAATATGTTTATCAGTTTTTAAGTGTTGAGATATTTTATATTTTTGTTCAAATTTTATCTTTATCACACACAATTTAAGACATGACCGTCTGTGGACAAAATTTCAGATCCAAATTCTAAAACGTATTTTTTTAAAAGCACACTAGCTGATACCTTTTTTTTCTCATTTTATTTTAAACACAAAACCAAGATCAACTAATCATTAGTTAATACAACGTGATCGGTTATATCTTTTGTACCTTTCGTGGTTATCAAATTACGGTGGTCTCTTACAATTTATAAAATACATTATTTATGGATATCGCAGAAATAACAAGAATTAGTTATAGTTTGATTTTCCATAATGCAGCATTAATACAGAATTGGAATATTTTTATTACTCCATAGTCTGCGACAACCTATGCCACTATTAAATAATAAAATTTGACTATGAGTTATCCGTAAATCATCTTCAGTAACAAGTCTGTTTCTTTTTGATGTTTTCAAAATAACGTTGTCATGTCTTCATGTATATTAATTTGTATATTGATATCTCAATATCTTACTACGTAGAATCATACTAGTGTATAATATTTTTACCTAATATAATTTTATAAATTAAATTTTTATTTAAAAAAAAAGACTTATCGCGACCCAATTATAAAGCTTATGCAACCCAAAAATTTGTCGCGACTCACCGGTTGAAGACCATTGATTTAGAGAGTAGTGTCATAAAAAGGAAAATGTTGTAGAGTATTTGAATCAAACAATATTTTCAATATTTCCCAAGAATATTATCGTTTTATCCTTAATTCATTAATCCTGTATATTATAATTATATATATTTTTTTTCTATTAGCCTATTCTCTTAACTCTTAATTACTACACTGTCTTTAAGTATAAAAAATAATTCTCACTACTTTTATAGCAGTCACCCAATAATTATTTTTTTTAATTTCAACAATTATTATACTTTGAGACTGTAAAAATATCATCAAGAATTTGTGAAAAATCTAAAAAAAAATCATGGTAATAATTTTTTAAAGTAAATTCTAAGAAAAATGATCTTATTAATGTTTCGTATTTAAAGATCTACAGAACTTTAAAGTTTATAAAAATTTGAATATTTTCATTTTTATTTTAAAGTATTAAATGTTGGTCTATCTAAGTAAGAAAATGATAAGTGTAAAGCATATTTTTATTTTAAATACAGGTGAGTGTTATTGAATTTTTTTCATGAAAATTATTTAAAAGTTAATAAACTTTAAAATGAGCGTAATTGAAATGAAAATAAGTTTCATCGAAAAATTTCCATATCTATTACGGTCATGTAACACCAATAGTTAACGAAAATAGAATGTGTTTTTTCAATACATATTTCAAATTTTGATACCATTAAATAAACTCATGGAAATTTAAAATTTAAAATGCTTCAGAAAATTTTCTACTGAATATTAATTGGATACATTTTTACCAAATTATTTTCAATAAATTAAAAAAAAATATACCAATATATTGGTGTAATATATAAATATGTATATAATATTAATATAATATAATTATATGTAATAATTTTTGCTAACTACAGTTAGAAAAAATTATTAATTTCACACTATAGACTAGTAAAAAATAAAAATATGTATGAAAAAATAAATTAAAAATGTTGTTATTTAATAGTATTATCATCAATAGAAGAAAAACTTTATTACCTTATAGAACTGAATATGTAAGAACAAAAGGAAGAAAAATCAAAATCGATTAGTCATGTAAAATATTGTAAATTTAACCAATTAATAGTGACTTATAAATAAAACAATAAAATGTTATTCATTGTCAATAAATTTTAATTTAACCTAGAACAATGTTTCAGTGTCCAAGAAAATATATTTTTTATAAAAAATAATTAGATGTTTTTATTTTAAATAACTCACAAATCAATAAGTAATATTTGTTTATAAACTGAATTAATTTTTAAATTCTGAAATTTTCAAGTTTAATCATATTATTATTTAACAATGTATTATTTCGCGGAGCAATCTTTATATTTTAACACTAAGTTCGAAAATTATTATCTAGAACCTTCTCAAAAATATAAACATGCAGACACTTGTGTTTACTTTTATAAAAATATGCTCTGAAAATTAAATTATGATACCAACTAAATGTATTAACTAGGTACATTTTAGAAGTCTTTATGACAAAATTAATATGAAATTTTGTACACTAGCATTAATTAAATAATTTAATACTTTATTCTTATTAATTTAAATTATTTATAAGCTTATCGGTCAGTAAGTATATTCACACTAAATTTCTGTTTTTATTTTAAATGATTTATTTTTCAACAGCATCTAAAATATTCAACCACGTTATTTATAATTATGAACATTATAACTATAATATTTTTTTCCTTCGTGTCCACGACATGTGCTCTTCCACCAGCCACCGATTATCGAGCAACTTTTATTCAAATTGTATGTATATTTCTATAAATTGTGAAAAATATTAAATTATAATATATTGTATTTATATTTCGTTTTATAATAAATCGCATATTAAAATTATTTTTACTTTTAGAGCTTTGATACAGAACCAATTTGGTCGTTTTTAAGATACATGATAGGAATTAATGAATTTCTTGAAGCTGAAGATGATCACAGCATATTCTCTGCATATTCCATTAGTCATGGTGTTGACATGTTTTTAATGAACGATCGGTATTAGTAGAGTCTATGATATAAAAATAATTAATAATAAAATATTCTTAAAAAATAAATTATTTAATTTCATATTTTTTCGGCTCAGTACATACTTAAATCCGGACGAAGTAATAATTGAAAATCTACCTGAAGTAGCAAGAAAATATGATAAGAATTTACCACTTAAAGTACTCATTAACGGATGGAGTTCGGACAATAATGTATTAAAGGACATTCTTATACCAGGTACGCAACATCATGTGAATTTTTCATATTATAAATAACTAATTGGAAATATCAAGAGATACTTTAAATAAATGGTAATGTACATGTTGTGTATATGTGTTTATGGATTTATCAAGTTAGTTTTCGTTTACCTTTAAATTTATAGATGAATCTATAATTACTTTACACGTTTAGCTTACATGGAGACAAGACAAAATAAAGTCAACATTTTGTTAGTGGACTGGACTGCATTGGACCAAGAACACTATTATCCGAAATCGTCATTGGTGACAGGGGTGGTGGGTGAAATGGTAGCTGATATGCTTATTACAATGGTAAGAATAGGTATGGTAAAAGTAGACGACATCCACATAATTGGATATAGTATGGGAGCCCATATTGCCGCTATAATAGGGGAAAAACTTAAGACTAGCCAAGGAGAACCAACAGTGGGCAGAATAACTGGTAATATAGAAATGATTTTTTTAATATATTTTTGTTCTACATATTTTTATTACCAGGTATTGATCCTATTACTCCATGTGTTGAAAATTCGTCGGTAGTAGACAATTGCTTAAACAAATCACGTGCACGGTTTGTTGATGTTGTGCAAACATTTACCGAGTACGAACAAGGCAATCCTATTGGAACAGCCGACTTTTACTTAAAAATAAGTCCAGATAAAGATGAAGATTCAAATAAATCGAAACGTATGACAATCATTAAACTTTTACATAATTGGTAGTATACTTAGGAGACAGGGTATTTCCGCGTTTCTTGAACTGAATTATAATACTAAATCGGTTATAATATTAGATTATCAGGTAGTAAGAATAATCAACCGCCAAAAGTTTCAAATATTTACTATCATTATATAAATTTTATACCTCCAATTCTAAGTTTTTGTATCCTAGACACATAATTCTTCTACTTAATAAATTTCTTTGTTAGTATTACATATATAAAAAAAATTATTTGGACAATTGTGTTGCCTTAAATAAACATATCCTAATTAAAAATTTAGTTCGTTTATAACTAACCAAAACATTTTTGCTTGATTTTTCATAATTTGTAATTTTTTATCTATTTATCTGTAATTTAAATAAATTAGAAAATTATACAGAACATTTAATAATTTAAAATATAAATTATTTTAATAATTTTGGTAATATGTCAGTAGAAAAAATGTATAATATATATTTAAATCTTCCAAAAAGTTACTAAATAATAAAACATTAAATTCCTAAAGTCAGTTATTTTCAAGAATTTTATTATTTGAACTCATATTATTTAAAAATATATATTTTCAGTCGTTCAGCAGGTTATACCTAAAGCAATTCCTATTATACCTCTCTGTATAACCGAAAAACTATAAAAACATATAACGCATTTTCCCCAACGTTATGTAAAAAATTAGTTATAGAGGGTAATGTTTTAATAAATTAAAAAAATTATCATTCATTAAGCTTATGCGTGACTGTTCTTTATTTTAAACCCTAGCACTGAATACACAATATTATCACAACTGCTCTTATTCTTTTTTTAATAGATACTAATGAAATCAAAAACGTTCAACTATTTTCGAATTCTATCAGAAATAGCAATGTCTTAACATGCTGTATGTGGGATGATTTTTCGGAAAGTCTTTGCGGTCTTAGCAAACCTGTCATTATGGGAGAACATTTAAATAAAATGTAAGTTAATAACATAATATATAATAGAGTGAAAGGATATTCAGTTCTGCTTAATCTTTCAATGCTCAGTGAACGAGCTCTTAAATTTTTTTTTGTATAATGAATTTCATCATTGTAACTTTAGTCTCAAATTACATTTTTCTCCTAGCAAACAAAAATTATATTTTGAACAACTGCAATAAAGGATAGAATATTTACATCTCACTAAATAAATTTTTATAGAACCCTTTAGTTAAATATAACTATAATATATTATAGTTACATTATATATATATATATATACATTCAGTAAATCTCAACTTCATATCATAATTATAGAACTAAATTAATATTTGTTAAATTTATTAGGAACCAAGGAAAATATTATTGTCATGACTCAGAAAGAATTTATAAAAAAATTGAAATGTAAGTAGGTATTATTAAAAGGTGCAATATTTAAAATATTGTTTAAATTTGTTGTGTATATTTTAACAATAAAATATATAACTCCTTTTATTTAACACAAAAATAATTATTATTTAAATAGTTGATACTTAAAGATGAAAATCTGTAATCACCAACAATTATTTTGACTGGTGATAGAATTAAATAATTATGTTAATTTAACATTAAATCGGATTAAAACACAAAAAACGGTTTAAACTATTTAATAAATATGATATTTCAATTTAAGGACTATTTTTTCATTTTCATTTTCAATTTCAATAAAATATATTTGTTAAATTTTGAAAACATTAGTTTAAATTATAATTAAATTTTATTATTTAGACACTATTACTTAGATAAAATTAAAAATGCAAGAAGTTTGAAACAATAAAACCTTTTATAAGTTTTTATAATTTTATTTTAACTAAAACATTTTGTTATATAATATTTAAATTTTAAATTTCTGTAAAACAAAATTATCAAAGATTATTTACATTACTAATAAAATAAAGTCATTAAAGCATTTTTGACATGTATGGTCCATCTAACTCATAACCAAGTTTCCTGTAATAGTTTCTAGTGCCAACGCCTAAAATTTAAAAAAAAATCATAAGTAAACTTCCACTATTTATATTACTATTATTGTTTATATATGTTAAGAAAATTATCAAGTAAAAGTATTATATATTATAAAAAATTATCTAACCAGATATAACAGCAATTTTAGTAGATTTGTGTTCTATTAATGCAATTCTCTCAGCTTCCTCCATCAACAATATACCAAAGCCTTGGTGTTGGAATTTAGTAGGATCTCTTGCTCTTACAGGAACAACACTACCATACACATGTAATTCTCTTATAATGGAAACCTTTCCTTTTAATTCTGATCTACAGTTTATGATCGAAATATTATTTTGAAATACTTAATGAAAATATAAAATTTTATGTGAAACATTTTAAATTACCTGAAAGAGTCTGTACATTTTCGCAAACGTAATAATCCAATTAAAATATCTTGCTCTGGATCTTCATATGATAAAAATGTTTCCCATCCATTATTTGCAACATAATCTCTACGTATTAGTTCAATCTAAAATTAAGAGAAGGTCTTATTTGGAAAATAGATATATTTATATAAATAATATTAAACTAAATTATGCTATAACCAAATGAATTTACAATAACTGATGTTAAAATTATTTGTTAAAAATTTATAAATGGTATATTAAAATTCTCTATTACAAAAATGATATTGGTATTGAATGATACAATTATTATTTTGAAGGTCTAGTCCACAAAAGAGACAAGTGATATTTATGGCATAAATGAGTTTAAACATATAAAAATAATTATTTTTTAATATTTATTCAATTTTTAAATTCCAACATTTTACAGTTTAGTTACAGTTAGAGCTTAAAATTTACATTAGAGCTCATATGGTAATCAAAAAAATTTAAATGGAGCTCTTAAGAAATTCAGTGTGTTTACTTTTTTTGAGCACTAGAATATTAATATTTTATAATAGTGTAAGAATTACTACAAACCTTTTGATTTATTCATTTCAGAAAAGTATATATGATTAAATTACAATATTATCTCTCATTCAATATACAAAAATATAATACTTCAAAATTTAATTTAATTAACATATATTTTATATAAGATTGCTTTAAATTTGAAGGTTAAATACATTTTAAAAAACATAATTAAATACAATTAAAAATGTTACAAATATGTTCTCAAAAACTACATACTTCATAAGGTCTAACTTTGTTATGGATTTCTTGAATTCCTACTTCTCTTGTTCGAACGTCACGACATTGCAGATTAAGATCTTTCATACGTGCTAATGCTAATTCACGTAAATTACCATGTTCCACTCCTGAACTTAAAAATAAAATTTATAGCTCATAATATTTTAATAGAAATATATATATATTTATAAAAATAAATTTTTAGAAACAAATATTATTACATACAAGGTGATCAAATTATCTACATCTGTACACGGTTGATTTTTAATAAAACATTTTTGATAAAGTTATAGCCTTTCAAAGTTTATCCATTTTTTAACTGTCATAAATATGTTTAAAATTTGATTATCAAAATTACCCATGTACGGATGTAAATAATTTTGTTATGTTTAATTTGATATGTTGATCATGTTTCTATGATCACTCAATCATCCGGAATCTGTAAAAATATATTTTTTCAATTATTTACGTTGTTTTGTGGTGCACCTAGCATTCTTTTGCACATGTGTAACAGTAGTAGTAATAATAATAAAGACAAAGAAAATATTATTATTTATCAGATAGGAAAACAATGTTTTTATAAATTCTAAAATCAACTTATAAGATTTTTTTTTTAATTGGCTTTTTATTAACAAATTAATGTATATTTTTTTTATCATAATATATGAGAAAGAAAATTAAAAGCCATAATACTTGTTTGGGTAAACTCTACACTTCTTTAAGTGTACAACTCATACAATATACTTACGTCACTAAAGGCATTGGAATATCTCTTTGTACTCGATATACACGAGTCCATGGGGGTATAATACTTAAAATATGAGCTATCAAATCAACAAGTTCAGAAGGTGAGTAGCTACGATATCTTCCAGTACGCCAAAGTTCGTATAATCCTGTACCTCGCATTACAAGTGTAGGATAAATTTTTAAACCATCAACCCTAAAATCAGGGTTTTCAAAAAATTCCTGAAAAATATTTTAAAAAATAAAGAAAATAATAATAGCAGTCATGGTAATAGGTTAACTAACTTTAAATTGTTGAAAATCTCTTTCTAAATCCACATTTGGCAGATCAGGCATCATATGAGATACAACTTTAAAACCACAGTCCTTAGCTAGATTAAAAGTTTCACAAACAGCTTTAACAGTATGACCTCTATTTGTATCTCTTGCAACATCTTCAAATACTGATTGAACACCTATTTCTAAACGGGTACAACCATAACTCAACATATCAGTCAAATGTCGGTTTAAACAATAATCTGGCCTTGTTTCTATTGTAATACCAATGCACTTTACATTACTTCGCTCAGAATATCTTTAATAAAAATATAAGAAATAATTTTTAACTATTAAAAATTGAAAATTTTTCATTTACTTGACTGCTTCTGCTACACTAGAGCTTGTATGGCCTGACAAAGCATCATGCAAATTTCTAATAAAATAATCACGATAATCTTCAGGTAAGCTCATAAAAGTTCCTCCCATGACAATGAACTCCACTTTATCAACATTATGTCCTAATTGTTTTAACTAAATAAAATAACATGCTATAAAGAATTTTTTTTACAAAAATTTCCATAGCTATATTTAGCTAGTACATATTATACATAGTTTATAGTTATAAACACTGACTATAATCTTATTTTAAATATCTTATTTTTTGAAATAAAATTAAACTACTAAAAACTTAAAATTGCATAATTATAGATCAGTAATTATAAACTTAGAAATTATAGTATATTAATTAAAAATAATATAATTAATAATAACTAACTTTCTTATAAACATTATAAATATATGTATCAAATTAAAAAGATTTACTTGTTCAACTCTGTGTCGAGTCTGTAGATATGGATTATAATGTGCTCGAATAGCTCTCATTGAAGTAGGTTCATAACCTGTATATGATTGAGTTGAATATTCAAAATCTGAATCAGGGCCTCCAGGACAATAAACACAAATATTGCCAGTATAATTTATATGAGGACATCTATGTGGCTTACACATTACCGCTACAATAGCTACCTGACAAATTGAAGTTATAATAAAAAAAATAGTTATATTTTGAAAATTTTAAGTATGGATTAGTTAAACAAATGAAAGACTCACTCCACTAGCAGTTCGAACAGGTTTTGCCTTGAGTTTAGGGTACAACAATTTTTTAGCATCATTAGGAACAGCGGATATAATATCAACTAAACGTGGAGATGATTTCAATCCATATTTCGAAGATATCTGAGTTTTTAATTTATTTAAATTAACATCACGATTTTCTTTTTGTGCAATTATTAACTTTTGAATAATTTCTGCTACAGTTGCCATCATACGTTCCTCATGACTTAATTTTGATATTTTTTCTTTATCAAAAAATAGAATGTGTTATAAGCTTACACAATATTATTTAAAAAGGACCATTTAATTTAAGATAAATTAAAAGGTATTTTTTACAACGCTCTAAGGAATGCATAATTTTATATTCATTAACTTAGGGTCTTTATAGTTATGTTTTCAAATAGTAATAACAATTACCTTCCACTATATTCATTATAACTGATATCCTTTACTAATTTTCTGGACAACTTATTTTATTTACACACTGCAATTAATTTGTAGCGTCATCAGTGAATTCACCAAAAAGACAAGTTCAGGTATTAATAAAAAATATGAGATTACTTGAAGATTTTTTTAAATAAAAAACTTAACACGTGACCGCTAAGCTGTAGACATAACAGTTAGATAAGTTATCAATATTCCAAAATTGATAATAAGGCCTGATGGCGAAGAATGTCTCACATATTTTTAAAGATGGGATTTTTGACTCACTGATATGAATCAGTTCATTTGAATCCACAGATATAGATAATAAACAATTAGCTATATCTGTGTTTGAATCAGTTCACTCAAATGAGTTAACTCCAAATTGTCGAATCTTTAAAGGCGCGATTCTGACTCGTAAGTTGTAGAAGTTTGTGGAACGCAAATTGCAACTCGCAAGGCATACTCGTAGAGTGCCTTATAAATGCGCCTTAATAGTTATCTTGACTAGATTAATATCAAGTATGAAATATAAATGAACTATTGTTTTACACAAATGTGAATAATAATTCATTTTACTCATTGTAAATAATTATTTATTAACTACTATTGTGAAATGAAATATAATATTGCTATCAATAATTTTTTATTCATTATTTGTTTATATATATTGGAATTAAAATAAAGCGCGAAAGAAATGAAAATCGAATTCAATTTGTATGTACATAATGGAAAAAGTAGAGTTGGTTATTAATAATTAGTAATTTTATGAGATGATGGGCCTCAAACCCTAATTTTTACCTATAAGATGGTTGAGCTAATTTTAAGTTAAAACTTCTAATCATTCAAGTTTGATTCCTTTTTTTCTTTTGTTAAAATTTTAAATTCTCAATACATACCCACAATAATTACACAAATAGAAATTTATTTAGTTATCTGATATTTATTAAATATTTTTCTATTCAATTGTTTACAATTTTTACTAATTATATTTAAATTTGTTAATTATTATTGAAATAAAAAGTAAATTTAAAATCTAAAAAAACTATATTTTATTATTAACATCAACACATAGATTTATTTATGTGTTGAATTAGGTATACAAATACAATGTAGGTATTATCAATGTTTAATGTTTAGTGCATACAATGAGAAAAATAGGTTTCTCATCTCATATATTTCAAAATTTTCTTACGTGTTATTACTGGTCTATTATTGAATGAATATTGCTCTAAAAATTGACATATTATGAATAATCTAGTCTCATTTATTTAAAATTTCACTCATTGAGTCAATGCTGTTTCCTGTGATCACAGTAAATCTTATGCACAAAATTGAAAATTTTGAAACACTTTATTTAATTTACAAAGGTATTTTATATCATTTTAAAATGAGTAAATTAAGTGTTATTTGGGATTTGTTTCAACTTTAAGCAGATTATTTGACTTCAAATTTAATTAGACATATTAAATCTAAGTATACATCAAATTTATTAAATAGAAAGACTTTTGTAATAGAAGAGACGATTGATGACCCAAATATTGCTCCATGAACTTCTACTCCTGTAAGTTAACATGATGCAGAATTTATTGATAAGACATTCTAAACTAAATTCAATTCTCAGTAGTCCATACTGAGTCATTGAGTAACAGTATTATGGCACACTGATTCAGCTCGTTCAGTTCACCTAAAAGAGTCAATTTTTTTGAGTTGACTCACTCACGAACTACCCATTCCTACATTTTTTATAAAATGAATGCTACAAAATAAATGTAATACAATAATTATTCAAATTCATATACTACATCTAATTGATACTACTTATGTAATAGTAGAATTTGTGTTAAATAAAATTGGATTTATTTAAAATATATTTATTAATAATTCCTATATAAACTATTATTCAAACAAATATGATTAAATTTCAATAAATATTTGAATTTTTGAATGAACATTATAGAGTTGTATTAATATTGAAGGATTTTGTCATTATTTCATCCTCTGATATGTTGTAAGATTTTAATTTAACCAGTTTTTTTTATTACTTTTGAATAATTAAAAAATTAATTAAGTTCTGAATATTTCATTTGCAGCATCTATTTGATGATAATTATAAAAGTTCCTGAGCCCATATTAAACTAAATAACACCATGTTATAAAAACTCATAAAATTCCTATTTAATAATTTTAATTTCAAATATTAATTAATATATTCTCAAATACTAGAGGTAATAGAAAAAATCTGATAGCAAATTTGAAATCAGATCAACAAAATAGCTTGGAAAATTAAATTGTCATCTGATAATTAAAAAAAGTTTCATTTTGTAGACCAGTGTTATTACTAATATAAAGTAGTGTTAGAGACATTATATCTAATGTTATTTATAATTTAATCATAGACTTTAAACACTATATATAAAATCTATGAATACAGATGATATTCACTACAATATTTATATATCAAGAATTGTATGTTATGTATGTTATAAAATATATGTCTGTTTAAAAACAATAAATACTTTAAATACAAAAAAACAGTACATTATTTCAACTGAATGTTAAAAAATAAAAATAAATTCTAAAAAATAAGGCATTACTTACATAAATCTCTATAGACAAACTAATTTTTTTTTAGCTTTTTTTAATTAATAGTGAAAATAAAATATTAAACATATCAAGTTTAAAAATAATATAATTAACTTCTTTATAAATTCATAAAATATGATACAATAATTTTTAGTAATTCATTATTTTAGTAAATAATAATTTTAACAACTGTAATTTCTAGTCCCAACCCGGAAGTAATTTTCTTGAAGGTGTATCTGATGTGTCAGATTGATATTTATTAGTATTTTGTACTTCTGTTACATTTGAACTCAAAGTAGAACTTTCAACTTTATTATTGTTTGAGCTACTTTGTTGACTGGTACTTTTTTTACTCGATTGCGAGGAGAGGTCACTTGAAACTAATAATAATTATACTTACATAAATGTTTATAGTTATGTTTATAAATAATAATATAACAGACCTGTTCCGGTAGATTGATTATTCATATATGTGTATAAAGCAATTCCTAAAATTTTTACAAGGGTTCAAAAATTAAAACCATAGATACAATTATACAATGAATTTTTTATACCTGATCCTGCTAATAAAGCAGTACCTACTGCTAACGATTTTATAAATGAAGAACTATTTTTATTATTTTCACTCATTTTAATATTAGAAATTATAGTACAAGACAAAAACCACAGACTATATGAAAACAGATAGTTCACTTAGCCACATACTATATGAAAACAGATAGTTCACTTAGCCGAAAACAATAGAAAAAAAATCAAGCTCTCTGATTGGGCAGAAGACAAAGCAGTAGAGACTGTTGCACAATTTCATATTATTGTGCAAATATTTTACAATAATATTGTACAATTCCTCTATCAGTTACAAAAATTATCAATGATATTTTAAATACTTGAACAATAATTAATTATAACTGTTCGTATACTTATTTTTTTTAAATAACGTTTAGTCTTAATAAAAATGTGTTTTGTTAAATATTGTCTGATATTATGAATATTGTGTTTAATTTGTATGAATATTAAAATTTTGTGTAGTTTATTATTTCATAAATTTTTAGTCAACGTTTAGTTAGTCTTATCTATAATATATGAAGCTGTAATTTTTGGTAAGTACATTTGGTATCATTATGATGTACAATCTAAATTAAATTTTATCTTTTTAGGATGTACTTGCTGTTATTTATTTATCAATCAAGTCAACTACACATTATTTATTTGTTCTCTATAGGAAATTGTAAAAGATCAAATATTATTATACAATACGTATAATAATTTGAACAACAAATGTTATTTATTTAAATTAATATTTTATTGAATAAAAAAATATATTAGTAATAAATTCATAATAAATAAAAAAATAAAAAATATATATTGGTAAAAATAATACAACAATACATAATATAAAAAATTATGTTCACAATATTATTATGACTAAGTATCTCTGAATTTCCCAACAAAACAGTCCTCAATGTAAAAAAAAACCATTCTGTACACCTAGAAAAATAATTTAATTTTAAATTTAATAATAATAAAAATTTATAGTTAAAAAAATGTATATGTTGATGAAAAAAAGTTAATTTATGAATGCTGGAGAATTGCTAATTTTCTATTTTTAAGTTTTTTTTCGGATACTAAGTTTCTATTTAGAAATTTTATTGTAGAATAAATCATGAAACGAATAAAAAATTTTATAAGATAATCATTGTCAAAATTAGTACATGGATGGTCATAAATAATATTTAGCATTTGTAATTTAAGTTTATCACCAACTCCTTTTTCGACAGATAAAATAGGAAAACTTTCTATAAAAATGGTTTCTAATTTATACAAGTAATTATAAAAATCTTCATGAGGCATTTGTAAATTTCCGAATAATGATTTTTCTTGGTTTTCATAAGCTTTAAAGTAACATAATAAAAATGAATTATCTAATTTATTTTGAGTTTTAGCATATTCTACATATATTTCACAAGAATGTTGAATTAAACATTTTTTCATAATATAACCGCAAACATAAATGAATGAATTTTGATCTGGAATTTCTAAATCTCTGTAATCAACTGGTCCAATAGAAAAGGCTGTTGGTTTCTTAAATTGAAAAGGAGAATTATTTGAAAAAAATTTGTTAACACCTAAATCTGATTGAATTGGAATTTGAGTTAATATTTCATCTAAATCATTAATACAATCAGCATTTTCTGAATGTTGAAAGTAATTAAGAAAAAATATTTTTTTAAAGGCATATAAAAACTGATAAGGTGTTGGATTTGTATTGTTTCCATTTTGCTGTCGAAAAGTACAAAATAAGTTTTCAAGGCAATCTTGGTTTATTCTTCCAGTGTAAAGCACGTAGGTTTCTTGTTGAACTGTTGGTTTGGACAATTTTAAACCCTTCCATAGTAAGTCCAAGCCAGATATGGAAACTAACCAACCTTTTATAAATTTCATACGATTTGTAACATCATTACCACTTTTTTTATCAATTACTTTTAAATTTGAAAAAAAATTAAACATTAATTTTAAATGATTATCTTGTTCAAAAGTTAATTTAAATGGCCGATTGAAATTTTTTGAAGCCGGTTGTTTAGAAGAATTGAAAATATCAAAAAGTTTATCCATATTTCTAATAAAATTTATTGAACACTTAGAAGAAAAATGTAATTTATTGGTGCAAAACTTTCGCTAAATACTTGAGCTGCCAAAAAAACTTTCATTTTTTCAAATGGACCAGGAAAAATATGAGCATAAGTTAATTTAGGGGCCATTTTTAAGTTACACTTAGAATCTTGTTCATAAAAAGAAATTAAATGATTTTTTTCTATTAAACTATTATTGTATGAAAAATTATGCAAAAAAAACATATTTCTTGTTGATTTTAGTAAATGTGGGGGGTCAAAATATAAATAATTTTTTTTCACCAACATAAAAAAAAGGACGGGCTGGAGTTACATTAACTGTATTACTAAAACTAACAAAATTAGAACCCATATCTGTAACACAGGCTTTGACATTTAATCCAAATTGAAAAAGTTTTTGAATTATGGTAAAAATAATATCTTGTAGTTCAAATCCCGTACAACTACTTGACACCATGTAATAAGCTATTGGCTGTTTCCAATTAAAATTAATGCCTCTTATCATTAAAACAAAAGAGTATTTTACAGGAGAATAAGTTTTAATTTTGTTAGATTCATGAAATCCAATAATTTCATCTTTTTGTAACATATAATATAAATTAGATTTTAAAGCCATCTCATCAGGACATAAAATACATTCTTTAGCTGCATCAGTAAAATGATTAATTTTGTAAGAAAGAATATTAAAAATAATTTCATTAATACCAGTCACAATTTTAACTTTATAAGTTAAACGTTTTAAGGTAGAGATAGATGGCAAAGATAAAGAATTTAATAAAAGTTTGTACACTCACGGACCTAAAAAATAAATATGTAAAGCTAATTGTTTAATTTCATTATTATAACGATATCCTTCTTTTTTCTTGTTCTTCAAGTTTATGTGAGATTTAACAATTGTAAATAATGCAGGTGATAAATATTTCTTACTTAGTCTTATATAATTTTCTACTGTGTCATACCTAGAAAGTTGATCAGCAATAGTCTTACCCATTTCCTTAAATTTCCGTGTTTCAAATTGTAGTTTTGTCTTCAATTTCAGCTTCCTTGGAGTATTATTTGATAAGTATAATGGAGTTTGAATGATCGAATCACTCGATGATGCAGAAGATTCATAACCACTTTGATCAACCGATACACTCTCTGATTGGGAAGTCGAAGGTCCAGAAGTTGAACAACGTTCTATGATTTCCTGCTGTCTTTGAAAAATTATGTTATCTAAAATTAAATAATAAATTGTTATGAATAATACTAAAACTGTTAGTAGTATTATATTTTTCATAAAATTTGAATTATTTTAGATATAATAAATTTTACAATTTTAATTTTTAATTATTATTATTATTGTTATGATAAGTCATTTGTTGAAGAGAACCCCTGGATTGTTTTCAGTGAATCGAGTTTATTGTTTAACAATTATTTTATATAATATAATAAACACATAAAATAAAAAAATATTTCCATTTTTCTTTATTTTCTGAAATTATAATTTTAGATCTTAAATTTAAAACAAACTGAGAAAAAAATTTATTTTAAAAGTAAACTACTAATTAATGTTTAATAATTAAACTACACTAAATAATTATTTTACAAATAATTAAAAAAAAAAAAAAATACTGACCACTAAATATTGTAGGTACTGCATCATGTACCAGCCGATTTTTTTGTAGTCTTTTTCAAAAACATTTTATCCTCAAAATGATCCGCCCAAACTACAAGATTATTTTTTTTGGATAAAGTCTCTGCCAAATGATTAGTTTGACAATTATTCATCCATAGTTTCAAACGATCGTTTTCTTTAGGATAAGAAAAAAAGCTTTTATCCTTGAAGGAATATGTACTTGGACAAAACTTCACTGAGCATCGCATACTGTTGAGGTAGTGAGATATTTTGAAAGAAAGCACCAAATATAACACGAAATAAGATACTTGTGATCACACCAAAGAGCAAAACACAAGTGTCAACGTACATAAACTAGATAGTATCGAAGACACCATGAAAGGTATGCGCTAGGGGGACGCAGGAATGTTGATTAACAATAGCGATGATTTGGAGTAACGGTTTCTACCTGTACTCCTTAGTCTAGATGACACTTACTCAGGGTGCTATTGTTCTAGAACAATAGCACCCTGCATTTTAACTAGTGCAGGAATAAAACAGGTTCATGGTTAGGATAGGTAAACAAATGTGTTGAATAGAAGATCGTTGGCATTCTATGCAGGACTAGAACAGTTTCATGGTTGGGATAGGTAAACAAATATACATAAGTAAATGTATTTGAGGTATCTGGACCCCCTACATTTATGTACCGAATAGTATGTAATTAATTATAACGTATTAAGTTGATTCCAATTACTACTTAAAATCGTTTCTTCTTCTATAGAAAATTTACCTCAGAGCCTATTAAAATAGGAAGCCCGCATCTATAGATCCCTTAATTTGTATTCGTGTACAGAAACAAAAACAATTGTAACTGCTCAAGTCAAATTTAAGTAGTTAATAATTTACATTATATAAACTGAGAATTATTTAATTTTCATGACTACTTTAGGGATTTTGAGTCATAAATAAGGGATTATGGATTTAATACCTTAATTGAATGATGTATTAAAATAAGTTATGTCAATAATCATGTTTATTTACGGAATTTCATAATATTTATGCTACAGCAGATTTAATAATGAAATAATTTAAAAGAAATTTTGCGCTCATACATATGGTTGCACTGATTTCACATCTTCCAATCAAAACACCGTTTTATTATCGGGCCAAGTGAACTATTTGTTTTCATATAGTCTGTGCAAAAACTAATATCTGTATAAACGCGATCTAAATAAGTGATAAGAGATAACATATTCATTTTTTGTGATATCCGTAAATTTTACAGATATATTAGACTTGGGAAAATACTTTTGCCACGAACTGATAATACTCCGACATTTGTCAAAGTCGCAATTGTTTCGAACATATGGGGTACTCCGACCATCTTACCATTACAACTACTGCGTATGTTACTCCATCATTATCGATAGTCAAACATTTAATTTATTTATGAACATATTTTTATTTGAATATTTACGACCTATATAGTAAGATGTTTAAGGAAATAGCCAAAATGTAAAGCTATTTTTTTGACAGTATTTTTTTATGTTGCTTTTGTTCCAAAATGATTCTCGTTTAAACGACTTTCAGCTTTGGCGAGATCTAATCAATCTCGATTATGGAATAGTATTGATCTGGAACATTGGAAGTCCCGGAGACAATTTTTCTTAATGGCCACTGAGATAATTTCCTTAGTGGTCTAGCGAAGAAAAAAATGTCAAATTTAATGCGGGCGGCCTAAGTTCGTAATAAATCATCATTGCAAGAAGATTATTTTACCAATTTTTTTATGTCGTCAGCTTAACATGTATCCTGCAAATACAAATGTATGATTCTATAAATTCGAAATGTACTTTTAAAAAAAAAAAAATTAAATACTGTTGTTGTACGCATACTCTAAGAAAAAAAATTAATTTTCATAATAAAATCTCGCATAATGTATTGATTTATTTTATTTGACGTATAAACAGCGTCTTAATACCTCTAAATTGAATAGCAATCGTACACATTTTTCATGTATTAATAATATTTTACATTTTCATAACATATAATAAATGTAGTAATTTTTATTATTTTAGGTCAATATTACGCTCTATTTAAATTCTTAAATTGTTTTTCAAATAAATACAACACATTTGTAATTTATAACATGAAAATTGATATTATCACAAATTTTAGCAGACCAAGTCGCTTCAAGTTTCTACAGTTTGCAACCAATCATAAGATCGAATTCAGACTGGATTCAAGTATTTTCGTTTACTTGTGTTCACCTTTATACAGAGTGTTTAGTAAGTCAGGAAACGGGTTTCTATTGTTTTCATTGTTTGTAACCCGTTTCCTGACTTACTAAACACCCTGTATAATGAAATGATACTAAGTCATATATTAAAGTTTTTATTCATTCAAGACTAATTGGAATGACAGATTTGGAGGATGGTATACCGAATAACTTTATAAAACATTTGTTTAACACTGAATCTTGTCATCATTATATTTTTGTACCAATTAATAAACGAGAACACGATAACTAATAAAATGTTAGAGATTTTAATAATAGGCGCTAATAAAGATAGACAAAAAGGACAAAAATTGGAATTGCTTCTCTTCCCTCCAAAAAAAAAAAAATTTAATTTAGATATAAATTTAATAAAATTTAGATATTCATCTACTGCGAAATTTTATAATTTTACTAATTGATTACGTGAATTATCAATATTTTGATTGAATTTAATTGGTGCAATCAACAATTAGATAACAAACTAAAAATTAATATTGAAGTTTAGAAAATGAGCGATTTCTATTGTCTTCTTTATAAAAGCGCCCTTGTTTAAGTGCCGACATGTTATATGAATCATATGTTAATATGTTATCCCTTTTTGTGGGTCATTTTTTTGGATTTAATGCTCGATATGAGATATTAAGGGGAGTCGGCTATTTAGTAGTAATGTATTTCTGGTTACAGTTGATCAATAAATTGAATCAAAACAATTTCCAATAGATTCAATAAATAATTGATCTAATTGAAAAAATATACATACGCCATCTTACTTATTTTAATTCTCTCCCATTCTAATATTACTACATGCGGACTGCCTTTGTCTTAGAATGTACAAGTGAACTGAAACATCACCACCCAATTTTAATCATCTGCTATTAAAACTTCTATCTATCAGGCAGCAAGAAAAAAGAAATAGAATAAAAAACAATAGTACGTCAAGGAATAAAAATTGTTTTTTTTAACCATTTTTATGCTTATTCGAATCTTCCTAAAAAGTTTTTGGTAGAGAAAAAGAGGTAATAACCCCCTGAATTTATTTTTCAGTTGCACCATTGAATATCTATTAATTGTTGTCAAAATATAAATAAATCGAAATTTATACTTAGTATAGTTTTATAATTATTTTTTGTTTTAAATACTTAAAATATATGCTAGTAATACATTTATTATTATTAAGTTTAAAAAAATATTCATTAGATTTGTTTTTTTTAATAATAAAACATTGGTCATATTTTATGTTGTACATAGTTGAACATTTTTTGAAAAATTACTCTATTGAGTGTTGTTTGCCTGATGTCAATACATAATTGGCTTAAACAACTGTCAAGTAAAACGTTTTTAACCTTCTCTATCTTTTTGCAAACCACTTAACATAAAATTATTATTAACAAAATAAATGAAAATTACTTTATTTTTGAGTATAGATCATTTTTTCATATAAACAAGTAAATGATAAAAAATGTTAAGCTCTAACATAGCCACAAAAACAATAAGTCAGATAACAAAAAAATTTACTTAAAAGTGATAAATTAACAATAATATAAAACCAGTAATTCTGTATTAAAAATAAATCTTCACTAATCACATTCTTATGTAATTGTCTGATAAATAAAAACAGCTATATTTAATATCAGTGTTATATATATATATTTCAATGAATGTTTCAAAATTATACAATTTTTGTGACATAAATATTATAAGTATGTCAACAAATAACATTCTACAAAAAAAAAAAACATGAATTACTTATATTATAACACAAAATATTACACTCAAAATAATAATAATAATAATCATCATCATAATAAAAATTATAACTACACAAATATATTATATTGCGACCTAAGTGACCATCTATATTTTCTCTAAGCTGAAATTTTATACATAAAATTGGTCCATTTACACATCATAAATATCTAAAAATAAAATATTTTATACCCATTAGAATTTAAATTTTTTAATTAAATTATATCTTATTTTAACACATTATTTTCAGCCACTTTCATATGGAATTCTTATGAATATTTTCGTCAACATCTTCTTCTTATAAATTATATGTTATTAGGAATCTCAATATTAATAATATATAATAATAACATTCTCTTTACTTTTATTTTCTATAACAACACATTTGTAAGCAATATTTATTAAATATGCGACTAAACTACTATAGCATCAAAAAAATTAAACCACCAACCGGGTTAATAATATTTATTATTTAATTCAATACATTTTGGAAAGACAGAGGTAGAAAAAAAGTCAAAATGACATTTAAAACAGAAATTCAAAAATAGGGCAAAAAATATTCATATTATCATTACTTATATAAGAACTGTTTGATGACTAGATGTGCAAGTGAAAAATAAAATAAAATAAAAATAGTGGTCACACAGATCTGAGGGCAAACTCAAGAATGGAAACATTTCAATTTAAAAATAACAAAAATGCCCTATCATAAATCTTATGATAAATATAAATATTAACTAAACAAAAAAAAAAAAAAAAAAATAAGAGAATAAAAGAAGAGGTAGTAATATTTTCATTTTTGGGGTAATTTTGATACAATAAGGGAAAGTAGAAATAATTTACATCACTTTAAATCTGTCATATTTAATTAATTTAAGTCAAATTATAATTATTTTTTCCAAAAAAAATTTCCAGTCAAAATTTTTTTTTTCTAAAAAAATACCTTCAATCACAGTGAGTACATCGTGTAGTAAAATAATAGTAGTTTTAACTATGTATAATAGTTTTATTTTAGTGACCCTGACTTCCTTGATGACTACACTGTACGTTGAGGGACAACATATAAACTATGTTAAATATACAGCAAAATAGGTATGTCTTCAAGGTATGGACAACAACAATATCATGTCAATGGTCACAAATAATGAAACGATCTAGATGATTTTGGGTCACAGTGATTGTTTTTTCAGTAAACGTTTTTGTCGACAATCATAAACTCGACGACAGAAGAATATCAGATCAGTTGGAGCGCCTTCAGCAGGTAATTGCCTTCCTCGTGGATTAAACTCTTGCAACGGAGGTACAACAGCTTTTGAAAGCACCAAGTTTTCTTGTACAGATTTTATGTGTTTGCGATGCCTGTAAACAATAAAAAGATTGACATTAATAAAAATTGTGTCATAAAATCAACATCAGCGAAGATTAACATTTTTTTTTTGGTAAAACATTTCTATTTCAAGTAAAATTTAGTTTATTTCTTAAAACAATTCACATCACAAATAAAGAAAACAAATGAGATATTGACTATGTAAATATTTCTGGTACTACTATTGCAAGGCAAATAAAAAATTAATGTAAATAATTTATAAAAATAAAAAATAAACTTCTTTTTCTTAATAAATATAATTCATCTTAAAAAAAATTGATTATATCTTTTTGGTGTTTTCCCTGTTGAAAAATTAATGATAAAAAATTTAAACCCTAAAAAATATCTACACTTTTCAAAGTAAATTATGAATAATATCCTTTAAAGATTAATTATTTAAATACAATCTTTTATAAGAAAAATATAAAATATGTTAATCAAGTTAGATTTTTAATTAAAGTTAAGATACCTCACAGATGAAAACTTTTCGGACAACTGTGGAAAGTGTGGCACAATAATAAAAAGTAATAAAAAAAAGTGTCCTCACCTACAGTATTCGTTGAAAGTTAATACGTAACACCGGTCGTCTATACAAGCCACACTGTTAACGTCCCTGTGCTTGGAAGCGAACAGCTCGTCTGGCATGTCTCCTTTTTGACGACCCTGTTTCGTGTGTTCTGGCCTATAATACCACAGCAGCGACATCATCATTTCTCCTAAATAATAAAGGTCATAATAAGTAAAGGTGAAAACAAAAAATATCCCTTTGTACTATTTAGCTAACCGTTAACAGGATCTTCCCAAAGGCTGGCGATTTTGGCAATGAACGGCAGGTCGTTTTTTCGAGAACCCGACTTCAGCAAAACGCAGTCCCTGGCGTAAATGGTGTCGCCTTGCATATGACGCATACAAGGGTAGCACTTTCTCAACACCGGCACGTCATCGTTCTATTTGTGAAAAAACACACGCCATTACAATCACGTAATGAACATTTTTAAACCTTTTTAACCATTACCTCTAAGTAAACCGGCCGTTTAAACGGTTTGCCTTCCCACATCCAACCGTTGGACCATCTGGGCGCTAAATCCTGTTTTTTAAGTCTGGACAACTGAGCGAATTCTTCGCGCATTCGCTGTTCCATTTCCCTTTTCATGGCATCTGTAAAAAGAATCAAAGTTATAATAACACTTAATCAACAACTCATATTACATCGTTGTTACTCACCAGTCATTTCTTTCTTATTGCCACCACTTTTTCGATCTTTACGGCCTTTCTTTGTTTTCTTGGGAACGTTTTTCTTCTTGACAAAAGTTTCGCCGACCATCTCTTCGCTATCACTATCGTCAGACATTGCAGACCGCAGTACTTCTTCGCACTCTTCTGGCGAGTCCAGTTCGCCGACATTACTGATGTCTGTGGTGGACGTCACTTCTTCACTGTTTTTCCGCTCGATGTTGATGTCGGTTGTCAATACAGGCGTTTGGTCGTCGGTAGTTGATTCTACTTCGAGTTTGACTTGTTCGAAGTTAACGTCGTGCGTCTCGTTTTGAATTTTCGATTTTTTTGCCAAGACGATTTGCGTGGGATTGGGCTTCTTTCTCTTGGCTGATCCTTTAATAAGTTTGTTGTTATCTTCGCCGTCAACAATGTTGTTGTTGTTGTGGTTGACGGACGGGTCGCAGTAAACAGTCGTCGTTTCCCGGTAATCATTGTTAGGTTTCATGGACAAATCGATGGTGGTCAGCTGTTCAGGCATCGGTTGACGGTCTTCGCTGGCCATGTTCACCTTGAGCGTGTAATACGAGGCGGGCATGTCTTCGTCGACCGGTTCGATTTTTGGTATGATCTCTTGATCGTCGTCCATGGGTTGTTCTAACCCTAACACGGACTCGCTGAGCATCTTGCCGATAGCAAGAAGCCCAGTGGTATCACATTTGTCTTCAGTGGTGTTCCATTCGGAAGTGGGATTCTTGGCGGTCAACATGGCCGGAGACTGAGGGGCCAGGTGTTGCACGGACGCCCTGGCCGGGCTCAACGGACTCATGCACCAAGGAACTTGTTTTGACGGGCTACAAGATGAGCCGGACCTCGCGGGTCTAGCGACTCCTGCGCTGCCCCTGGCCGGGCTAGGCGGTCCTAGGGCGCGGGGAGGCTCTTGCGGCAGCGCCAATGCCACCGGCGGAAGCGTTACGACTGTGGTAGAATGGTGTTTCGGCCCCTTACTGACTGCACCAGTAAGCGGGCCAGTATGGACGTTTTTTGGATTGGGACAAGTTTGCATTGGGCACGGACAAGAATGGTAGGCTGGGTCTACGTAAGTTCGGGGCGGCGCCGGTGGGTAACACGACGGGCCCGGTGGAGCACCATACGGTGAGTAGTACAGCGGTTGAGGCGCTGGATAGGCGTCCGGTTGCTGCTGGGGGTGGTGGTCCGGTCTGTCGCCGGGCCGTGCGGCCACCAACATTTGTTGCTGTTGTCCAGGAGACCCGGGTGGTGCGGGTGGTGGCCCGGGTGGATGTCCGTAGTACTCGTGATAGTACGTCGGTGGACCTACAATAGCCGGATTGTACGGTGGTGCTGGTCGCCTGTGATGGTAGGCGATGTGATGATATGGAGAGCTCCGGCTATGGTGGAAATATCCTGGTTGGTGATGTGCCACACCAGGGTACACACAGGGATTGGGTTCCGGCAAATAGTGGTGTTGCGGGACCTGTGGCGGAGGTGGGTATTGAAGGTTGGCCGACGCTGGCGGTGAAGGGTAATACGACGGTATGGGAGGAGGATGGTACGAGTTCTGCGGTGGATACCTGTGGTAACCGGGTGGCGTCGAAGCGGAGGTGGATCTGACTGGCACAATTTCGTTGTCAGATGACTCCGTCTGCGGCGGTGCTGCTGTGCCTGTCGATGAAGGAGGCGTGGGCACCAGAGGTGGTACCAGGGACGATGGTTTCACGTGCGGTGGATGGTGCAAATGCACGTGATGTGGTACAATGTGATGTGTGATCAACGGACCGGCCGGCTGGTAATATCCTGTAAATAAAAAAACAAAGGATTATTAATTACAACTAAATAACGAATGATTTCTTTTAAAAGAATTCATTTATATATAAATAATTTAATATATAAACTTGCTCAAAAAGAAACAAATGTTATTTTTTACTTATAAAATCACTAATGAATAGAGATTAATGAGAGACGAATTGTTTTTTAAATATAAAATTTGCGACGAATTATATTAAAGATGAAAAAAGAAAATCCACCGATTAATTATGCCGTCGATTTACAGCTACATCAAGGTTTTCTTTTGTTGTTTGATTTCAAAATTTTCACGTTATAGAGGTGAATGATAAATTCTAAGGAACTTACAAACAACAATTTTACAATACGAAATAATGAAGAAGTTTGAAAGAAAAAAACCCGCATAATTATATAATAGATTAAGTACATGTTGATTTTCATTAGTAAACCTTTTATTTGCAGTTAAATTTTATTCTTTCACACGCCGAGCAAACTTTTCACTTTTAAAGTTTCGCACGCCTTCGAATTTCAATTGTAGCGAATTGTACACTAAAATTATTTTCTTCGTCAGATATTATTTCTACTAGTTAATAGTTTTATAATATTTATTTTGAGATTTCTAACGATTATGACAGGTCGACATATGAAAATCAAAAACTCACTTATGAGTCATTATGGTGTCACCAAAAGGTCTTTAAATGATACAAAGAAATAATTTTCTAACCAAAAAATATTAAATGCAAAAACTGAACGTCAACTATAACTAATACCAACCGATGTTGATACTAAAGATTATTAGTTGTCAGAAACTGGAAATTCGTGTTTATTATTAAAGCTTTCGTGATCCGAGTTGGGCTAATTTAACGTAATAGAACAAATAATACAATTCACAATCATCAAAATTGTTCCTTGAAACCGATCGGACGGTTGACGCAAATGAGCGATTATCGACATTAATATTGATGAACTGTTACTTACGCAGGAGAGTTGCCTATTCGACCGAATCGCTAGAGTTTGATATATCTTTTTGCTACACAAAAAATAAAGGCTCAACATGTTGCACCGACATTCGGAGAAACTCTGTAAATTAACTGGATTTGCATTGATTTATATCAACGGAAAAATGACGTTTTATGTAAATGAAAAGAGAAAAACTTAAAAAATGACTTAATACACGGTTTTGTTTTTTTTATCACCAGACGGGAAGAATACATATATTTACATAATATAACGCGTATTCGCGTTGCATTAATCTTCGTCCCGTAAAAAACCGATAGGCCGCTTACCGTTTCTCTTGTTACTGTCCATTTACACTCTTTTTTAATACTCGGATCCTAAAACGCGATATCGTTACATCGGAACAGACGATTTAATAATTGCCAATCGCACTGTCCGATTTGTGTTTGTTTTATTTACAACGCGCTAAAAACAGATTATAGCGTAAGGACAAGGACGAGGGATTTGACGCATGCGTCATTCAATGTCAATAGATGACAATTGCGTTATTGTTTTTTAAAAATATAATTTGTGAATCTAACGACGAGACAGTTGAACTGTGCAGGTAAACACTTTTGCTACAAATAAAATCAATAACTTTTATAACTGTCTTACGTAAATCGAAGACCATATTGTGGTGTACAGCGAACGATTTTACTAAAATGACATCATTACGCAGCAAGTAAATTTTACTAGTGTTTACAAATGCAATTACACACAGTCTGGCAAATTTCATACGAACAAACACGCCCGACAGTAGGTCGGGTACGATAAGCTCTGTTTATTTTAGTGGATATCGATAGAATATTATCCGAAATGATTATGACCATAAACGCAAATGGTCCAAAACGCGGTACAAATGCAGCAAAATTTGACGGTCGTCCCGTCAGAAATATCGACTTCATTCACACTGTGGATATTACCAAAATTGATTTAAAACAAAACGATTGATTTAAAAATTTCAAATGTTCCTAAACACAATAAAAAGTCAAAAAAAAAAAAAAAACGTTTAAATGAACCCCTTCGACTGCGATCATTTGGCACGTTACTATTTGCTATGTTGTTAAAGCCATTATTTAATGACAATCTCCTTTTGAATTAATACGGCTTTATTAGACTAAAATTAGGTTAAAACCATTATGTATCAAGCGGTTTAAGTTCTATAACTAAGCTTTCTGGGTAACGCCGAAGACAATTTTTTTCAATCATTTTTCAATAGGCAATTTATTCATAAAAATTGCACACGGTTGACAACTAACGTGAGCCGTTCACTGGACATAATGGAAGAAACAATTTATATATTAAGGTAAAAATCGTCATACAATCGATTATTATATTAGTCTGGCGGTAGTTTCCTAGCAATGATTTAATTTGGGTGGAAAACACGAAAGTCAACAAATAACTAGGACACGAATGTGTACAAAACAAATAACGGAATGAAAATTTTTATCGTAACATTTCATAAGAACCAAACGTTAAAAAATTTGCAATTTGTAACAACATTTTGCAATTAGCGACATTAGATGCCCTTACAAGTATTTAACTTGACGGGGTTTTAATAGTGTACGTGAGACATGCATAAAAAAAAAATGAATATTTTATTTATGCAGTCAGTTCACAAACGACGTCGTCATAGCGGTACACTGCTGGCAAGAGTCGTGCCGTTGTTGTTATTTGGCGGAACAGCCAAAACGCAGTAAACAATTTAGCAAGACCGTATTATTATCATACGCACCGTAACACGATGTGGCGGCGACTGTGTTTCTGTCAGTCGCCGCTGTTATCGCCAGTCGCTGCTGTGTGAAACCAATTTTTTATTAAATTTTATTATCATCAGAATACCGAGAAAACATTAAAGAAGCGAGAGTGGAGGAGCTAACGCCGAGCAACGTTAAGCGGCCGAGATAACGTCAACCCCTTCGGCCCACGCACCTAATTTGCCAACGTCTTCTGCAGAACTTTTGTCTGGATATTTAAACCACCAATTGCGTCATGCGGCAAGATCGAGATACGCACGGTAAAAAAAAAAAGGTGACCTTTGCGCCGTGTTATCATTTCGCCAACTACTTGTAAAACGCCAGTATGGGTCTATTTTTTCGTTGGCCACAATTAACAGTGTTATGCACTAAATAAACTACTAAAAAACCATATTATAGTGTTGTAAATATGACGTACGTGCACTTGAATCGGGCGCCTCAAACTGCAACGGCTGATTACACAAAACCATTGATGCACACTACACGGGACAAATCAGTATTACCACTAAATGATCTATCACCATTATATTCCAAGAGTCGATTAGTTAAAAAATAACACAGTATTCACATTTCGAAATTATACGGCACAAAAAACGACAGACTTCCTCGCGAGGATCAAGTTGTGAAGGGATACCGTACGAGGCGGACGATTAAGTTTGCACTGAATCATACCGTTGGCTCGTGGCGCTTATATACCGCGCGAAGGGTCCTCGGGTGGCAGTTGACGACGTGGTGAAGCGGAAGTGCTCACATCCCGTAACGTCTAGAAAATTCTATTGTCGACAGAAAAAAAACAACCGGTCTGTGACCGCTACCTGACCTCTATGAGATCATCATCCCTCTATAAGACGGTATACGTGCAACAGCACATGTCGCATGTTACTGTGCGTGTAGTACGTGCACACGAGGCGCACGGTAGGCCGCCGATAGATCTGTCAAAACAAAACAACTATTTTTTTACAACGTTTATCAAATGATTACTGTACTTCACGTAGTAATCGCTTTAATTCTTATACGTTTTTGGATAACATTTAATTTATTTTGTTTGTTTATAAACAAGAGAAATAAATTATTTTCATTAATTTTTTATGAAAAAATATACATTTTCGTAGAACTATGCCTCGTGACTCTACGAAAAACCATAAAAAGGTCACTAAAAAAATGTTATTAAGAAAAATAGAAAATCTTAGTGATTTTTATTTGGAAAAAAAGGAAAAAGTTCTCGTATTTATCAATTCAAGTTTTTATTTTGATACGAATATTCACCTAATACATCCATATACTGTCATACTGCAGTTTGATTTATTATTTTTAGCCACAATATTACAAATAGGCAATACACTCGTGTAAGAAATGTGCAACGACACATTTAAAATAAATATATTTTCCTATTATTTGAACTACTTAAAACGCTTCGAAAACACATTGAACGCTTAATCAATAATATCGTTCTTTGTTTACATGTTTATCTGAAAGGTGTATACGCTTTTACACTGTACAACGTTAACCGGATCGAAAATATAAAAAAAATTAATTACGCATATTCATAGGAATAAAAAAATTAGCACATTAGATCTCCTTAATCGTAACGTATACGGGGAGTATAAATACTATTAGTGAAGCGTCTAGTGTTCAAGGTTATGCTGTGCGGTGCATCGTACTATAACCCATAGATGAAGTATTCGTAAAAGAACTCTGCACAATTTTATTATCATGTTTTTTAGCCTCTTTGCGTCATGACGTATCCAACGCAGGCTGACGCTGAACGATATTAGCAGGTGATTGGGCGCCGCCTCGCCTTGTCGTTAAAGATTATCTCTCGTTTTGCCTCCATGGCAGCAAATAAGCGCGTTAATAAAATTATTTTCTTATGTGTGATGATGAGAAAACGAATGCAAAAATGGAGACTCCCGTGTATAAACAATTGCGCGTGACTATGTTTTTCGCTACTATTTTATGGCGATGTTAAAAAACCGATTGCGATTATGCTGAACGCGTGTCACAATTGCGGCGAGTTAGACAATGTGCGCGTTTTTATATAAATAAACGGCACTGATAAAAGCGGCGAACATATGCGTTGCAATTAATGTTGGTTAGTGCGTTTTTCCAGCATTTTAACAGCAATGGGAAATCATCACAATCGAAAGTGCAAAAATCGCGACCCAAAAAATAATACAATGCACATCATAAAAACATTATGGATGGGTGTGTCTAAACACAGTCATCTTAAACCCGTCAACAATATTATTGTTATTTGTA